TTTCTGTACAGTACACAGTGGATAAAGCCATAATTATCCCTGGGGGACCATGTGCATTCTTTCAGCTTAGCTTTGGTTTCAGTTACAAGTTCATAATGACCACACGCTCTTTGTGTGCTTACTTTGTGGAAGTGTACAAAAAGGCTCCATCTGCCAGCTGCTGCTGCTGCCTGGCCTCTTCACTCACCAGTCTTCTGAAGGCTTTTGAACTTGTCTCAGGTGTGTGTGTGTGTGTATGTGTGTGTGTGTGTGTGTGTGTGTGTGCAGGTGTGGTACTGTGTTCATATGTTGTACATCTGTTATTTTGACTTCGGGGCTTGCCTCTGTGAATGGATGTTCATTTCTGATTGGCCAGAAGCAGATGCCAGACACATATAGTAAATCCTTGAATCAACATTGTAAATATGAATACTCTCATTTGGTTAAGGCTTTGTTCTCTTAAGATGTGGCTGAAAATGGATCCTCTAAATTTATCAGATTTAATAATCTGACATTGAATGAATACAGTACCTGTAACCTGTGTTTGTATCCACAGGTGCACACATTCAGAGGGCCACACTGGTGCGAATACTGTGCCAACTTTATGTGGGGTCTCATTGCTCAAGGTGTCCGCTGCTCGGGTAAGCTTATAAACAATTTTACACTTACACAAGAAATGTCATGGTTTACATAAGTGAAATACATATAATCTGTAGCTAATTGTCATATGTTTTGTTGCGTCACTAGTTTTAGTTCTAGCCTTAGTTTGACCTCACAACAGGACGTTTATCCACAAATCCACAAAAAGTACCCTGGAAAGATAAGGTACCAATTACGTTATTGATTTAGTTCTGATTCTGTATATAACATAGCACATTATTACACATGGCACAAAACTATACTAAAATAAATTACTTTGCAGGGGCCCCTTCAGTCACAAGACTCAGTAACTACTGTTCACGTTGGTGGACTCTCTTTAACAGTGTGTTTGTTGTTGAGACATTTACCATGCTGATAAGCCAAAGGCAAACAGTACTATCATCAGACACCTCATGTGCTATGGGAACCAAGGGATATCTCTTTGTCCTCTTATAGTCGGGACAGGTCTTTATTTATTCTTATCTTAAGTTCTGAATGAGATCGGAGTAATCTCAGTGCATTCTAGTGATATATGGTGGACAAAAGCTTAGATATTTTTCATGTCTTGCAGGCAGCTGTCAGCAAATTTCAAGTGACTTAAAGTACAACATGAAAAGCCAGTCCACTACTGTCACATTGTCCTCTGTTATCTGTGTGAGCCACTGGAGCTGAGCTGTGCCTATGCTGCCTGACAGTGCTGTTTATCACTGACTCAAAAAACCTTTTCAAAGTGCTTTAAGCCTGCTGTGTTGGAAATGTTATCACTTAGAGACACTCTCTCTCCTCCCCCTCTCTCTCCACCCCCTGTCACTTTCTCTCTCTCTCTCTCTTTTTTATCAATCTTCCTTTCCTGATCTTTCTCCCTCCATTACCTCCTCTCTTTCTCTTCATTTCTATCTTTTCCCCTCCTTCCACCCTCTCTCTCTCTCTCCCTCAATATCTCTTTCCCAAACTTTCTCTCTCCGTTCCTCCCTCCATCACCCCTCCCTCTGTCTATTCCTTTCCATCTGTCCATTCTTCCCTCCATTCAATTCATCCTTCCTTCTCTCTCTTTTCTAGACTGTGGGCTGAATGTACACAAACAATGCTCCAAACTGGTGCCCAGCGACTGCCAGCCGGACCTGCGCAGGATTAAAAAAGTCTTCAGCTGTGACCTCACCACACTCGTCAAAGCTCATAACACAACACGACCAATGGTGGTAGACATGTGCATACGCGAAATAGAACTGAGAGGTAAGACCATCTGAAGTGATTATTATTGCTTTTATATTGAAACTATTGAAACTAACTATTTCTGATGTGCATGCAGAAATGATGCATCATACACATCAAAATATATATATTATATATGAAAGATGCACTGTGTAACTTTTCTGGTGAGGGTCTGGCCTTCTTGTCTCCATGGAGATGATGTTGCTTTGAATAAAAATGTTCTACAGTATGACCTTAAAATTATCTCCATCGAGACAAGAAGGTGGCACCACCTGGCCAAGTTACAGATCAGGTCAGATTTGTGGAGAGGCAACACTGTTAATTGTAAGAATTCATGTTTTTCAAGCTATTTCTGAGCAATAAAAGTACATGTAACGAAATAAATGCTAAATGGATAAGTTGACCCATAGGGAAAACACAGCGTGGAAAATAATTTAAAGGAACCTGAAGTTGAATTGATTAAATCTGGACTCATTTCATGTTTTATTTCAGGCATGAAATCTGAAGGGCTCTATCGAGTTTCTGGCTTTTCTGAACACATAGAAGATGCGCGGCTTGCTTTTGACCGAGGTTTGTTTATGTCACTGTTCTCTGGGTCCAAATCACAGACTTTATATATAAATGGACATAGCTAACGCACTAGCCACCGCATTCCAGATAGAAAGTTCTCATGCAGGCTCTTCTGTCTCCCACTGACCCTGATTTCCATTGGAATATAGTCATCCCTTTCTCTGTACCTGCTACTTTGAGCTTCATTATTTTGTTCTTAAAACGCTCGTATTAAAAAAAGCCTATTCATAATATAGAACCTGGCTTCTAATTTGCTACTGTAACCATTAGCATCATGAGCTTCATTTGAGCGGCGCTGAACGCCGTAGGTGACGTCACACTCAGTCTACATCTTTATACAGTCTATGGTCCAAATACTATAACTGTGGTCATATTCACACATTTATAAGTATCAAATTTCAGAAACCAGTATGCCTCAAATATTCCATTTTGCTTAAGGTTGCACACAAGTGTTGGCTTCAAAGCTCATTTTCAATTGTAGTCAAATTCTGGGCAAGTTGTAAAATGTCAGTGACCATTTGCTCAGAAATGCTTAAACAAATATTTTACTCCAGAACTTTTATACTAAAATGTAGTCCTCAAAATGCATTTTTATTTAATAATCGCTATTTTTTGTTTTGTTTTATTTTGTATTATACAGATGGCGATAAGGCTGACATAAGTGCCAGTGCATTTGCAGACATCAACATCATTGCTGGGGTTTTAAAGCTGTACTTACGAGACCTTCCCATTCCTGTCATTACATTTGATTTGTACTCCAAATTTATTCAGTCTGCAAGTAAGAACATTTACTTTGTTTAATCACTATGGTCACTTTTTTAAGAGAATTTGTTCTAATTATATTAAAACAAAACCAGAGATGCCAGATTCAGAGTCCAGACTAGAGGCCATTCATGAAGCTCTTCTCCAGTTGCCACCTGCACACTATGAAACGCTACGATATCTAATGGCTCATCTCAAGAGGTACGTAAAATGTATCCAAAATCTCTCTCTCTCTCTCTCTCTCTCTCTCTCTCTCTCTCTCTCTCTCTCTCTCTCTCTCTCTCTCTCTCTCTCTCTCTCTCTCTCTCTCTCTCTCTCTCTCTCTCTCTCTCTCTATATATATGTATATATATATATAATTTTTTTTTATCAAAGAAAAAAACATACCTAAATCTACTTTTTAATCTTATTTTGCAGGGTAACAATGTTTGAAAAGGACAATTTAATGAATGCAGAGAACCTGGGTATTGTCTTTGGTCCAACTCTTATGCAGCCTCCAGAACTGAATGCGCTGACAACACTGAATGACATGAGACAGCAGAAGTTAGTGGTGCAGCTTATGATCGAGAACGAAGATGTCTTATTTTAATGACTCAAGATCACGAAGGATGATTATTTATTCTGTAGAAAAGTACAAGTTTGATTTTTCCTCATGTTGTTGTTTTTGTTGTTGACGATATTGCTGTATTAGTTGAGTTTTCCGAACATTTTTATTACTTTTTAAATTGTTCCCTGCAATTTTGCATTAAGGACTATCACTACCTGGTGTAGATGGTCTAAATGACAAAGCTGTGAGAATTTTCTACAGATCAGTACTCCCATGTGCACATATTTGTCAATTTAAAATTACAACAAAACAACAAATTTTGTACATAGGAAATTGATCATCTAAATATTAATATGTCTATCTGTACAGACACCATGGCAAGTGGACACTCATGAAGCACTTTTAGGAACTGTATATTGTACATACTAATGATGTAAATATTTTTACTTTTTATTGTGTTTATTTGTCACTACAATGATATGTACATCAAGAATGATGTACTTTGAATGATTTAGATGTGTTTAAATGGTACCACAAGAAGAGCCTAAATGCTGTCCATTTTATTTTTGTGCTTAATGTCAAAATAATGTACATTATGTGAATTAAATACTGGTTATTTAAATTCACAATATGACATGCTGTGATTATATATTACTTTTCTGACATTTTTCTTTAAAAAATTTAAGAGTGAACTGCCACAGGGATATTTATCTGCACTATTAATTAATTAATTAATCGTTACATTTATATAGCACCTTTTAAGACACCCAAAGGGCTTTACAATTCATTGTTCACTCACTCCACACTTACTGGTGGCAAGCTACTATTTTAGCTACAGCTGCCCAGGGTAGACAGACAGAAGCGAGGCTGCCCATCTGCACCCTTGGCTCCTCCAACCACCACCAACACTCACGCACATACCACTTTCTTACTAGGCAGTGTGGGTGAAGTGTCTTGCCTACGGACACAACAGTTTTTGGCACTGGCGCCCCGCTGTGGCACACGGTGTTCCCAGCGGTCTCCCATCCAAGTACTAACCAGGCCCGGCCTTGCTTAGCTTCAGACATCTGACGAGATCAGGCTTTAACAAGACGGTATGGCCAATATTGTAAAATGTTTCATTTGAAATGTACTTTTTAATGTTCCCATACCATAACATGTTATGTTGTCCACCAAATCTGATAAACGCATCATATAGTAACATGCCAAGTTACAGTGAGACACTGCCCTCTTGTGCTTGATGTAGGAAAAGAATTTGCTCCATGGTTTTAAAAACAATTTTTATCAAATATGTTCAATGAACATGTGAAAATATCAAAATAAAGATACAGAATAAATTATTAAAACACATTTCAAACACACCTAACACGTCATAAAATTTCACATCCTGAAATTAATATGATACAAATGTAAACAAAATACTATTGGTGGTGAACATTTTAGTTATAGCTCATCGTGCTGATATGTGAACTCCCGTGCAGATATGAAGCCATCTTTATCTTCGTCCTCATTTTTGAAGATGTCCTCCACCATAGAGTCATGTTCTGTGTCATTAGGTGAGTATCCATGTTTCTCAAACTCTTTCTTCAAATACTCTTTTACCTGCAGAGGATAAGTCAGAATTAGCAATAAACATATAAACACTGTACTATTTAATATAGGCTTATTAAAAACAAACCTCTTTTCTGCAGAGCTTCCAGTCATTGTTGAGATCCATCAGCTGAAAAGACTCATGAGATCTGGGGCCATTTCTAATCTCCATAAGCTCAATGTCAAAAATTAAAGTACTACTTGGAGGAATTTTACCTGAAAGAAAACAATGCAAAGGTGTTTTAATACTTTCTCTAATCCCTTTATGCCCTTATTACTGATGTGCACAGTTGCATACTCACCCTTGCCTTCTTTTCCGTAAGCCAGTGCAGGAGGGACAGTGAGCTTCCTGCGCTCTCCTGTGCACATATCCCGCAGTCCTTTATCCCAGCCTTTGATCACTTCTCTGATGCCAAGAGTGAACCATACTGGGTTTTTATCGCCTTGGGTGCGACTGAAAACAAACATAATTTGTCAGCATACAGCAAACAATTTACATGGTAAATTAGGCCTAGGTCAATCAGTGCCAATCAGTCTTGTTTCATTAGGCTTATCAGTAAGTAAGCAACATAGGCCTATAACAGTGTTACGGCCAATTACCTGGAGTGAAACATCGTCCCGTTACTTTCCAAATATCCCTCATAATGGACTAAAAGCATGTCCCCATACTTGGACTTACGGTAACACATGAACGGTTTGTGCAAAACTTCTATATTAACTTCTGGCTCAGGCAATTTGCCCCCTGAAACTAACGGAAATAACGAGGGCAACAAGACAGACACACACAAAAGTAACATAATGAAAAAACATACAAAGAGCACTAAACGTTGTGCCTAAATACCTGTGCTATTCCACACACGCCTTGGCTAAAGCTGGAATGCTAAATACGTGGCAACAAAGTTTAGCAGAGGAGCCACTAGAGCCGCTGTTTGCCCTTCACGGGCTGCGATTGGATGAAGAAAACCTAAGATCCGCCTTAAATTCTGTGTTGCTTCTTCTCATTTGTTTAATAGTATGTCAATCATTTTAAGTTTCACCCGTGTGAGGTGGTGGCGTTGGGGTCACCACAGCAGCATGTTTTTACACAATGACAGGAGAATAAATATAGCCCAATTACTACAAGAAATGCACAACTGCTCGCAATCTGCAAATTGCTTCACACCATAGGCCTGGTTTTGAGACCCACTTGATGCTCCTAACAGACCATAGTCCTAAGAAACAGATGGTGACTTATGATACTTATGGTAGAAGGTCATTAGGTCAAGACTTCATTCTATGAATTAGCTTGGGTAACTTTTGCACATAGCCAATTTGTTCATAAGTTGTTAATGTCAATTTTCAATGTTTGTTGTCATGATTTATTGTCACTATTGCATTGTTAAAAGATCTAACATTAATTTAACATAACATCTAACATTAATTGACTATATCATCGATAGTCTATGGGCTATAAATATAAGAATTATATTTAGGCCTACCTTTTTACTGAAATGGATTACATGCAACACACAGATATGCTGTAATTCATTGTTTTGTGGAATCAGGTTTGCAGCTCATGAGCCTCAGGCCCGAGGTACAAATCTAATTTCTAGGGCCAGAAGAACGTTCATGATGGTATAAGCCAAAGTAAGCTTTTATCCAGGCATCTGAACAGACTAATTGTCTTAATGTAATTTAACAAAAAATACATTCAGCTAACAAAGTTACATCACCACATCCGATTCAGCTCCAGATATAGGCCTTAGTGAATAGAAATGTCCGTCCACATCTGCCTAGAGACTACTCTGAAACACAAATGTGAATATGACTGTATATTGAAATTGTTGTCTACATTAGTGTCCCTTTATTAATGTCCCAGTGTTGATTACGTTCCTGATTAAATATAGGCCTATAATCATAAATGCTCAAAAGCTGACAATTTCTATACCGGCTATATAATGAGAGCTATATCGTCTCTGATTTATTTATTTATTTATCAAAACTGAGCTTTGCTTAGATATTTATTCATTGTTTTATTCTTAAAATAGACTACATAAAATAAGAAAGTTTTATGTAAGCCTTACTCGGTTCATCTTATTGGTTCAAAGCACATGTCAGTCATTATTTACTCCACCCACCTTTTCTAAATCCATCAGATGAAGCGTTTGCTCAAAGTGGGAGGGCTACGCGCAGCTTCTCCTGTTTTCGCGTAGGTCCGTATTCACTAAGAGCTTTACGCACTTTTCTCTGCTTTGCCCATAGACTTTACACATAGACTGTACAATGGCTTTGGCTGAACCAAAGCTGTGGACGCTACTCCAGCAAAAATGCACTAGTGTCCAATGGAGTCTCTGCACTCAGCTGTAAATCATATCTTATGATACACAAGTGATGACCGTCGGAAAACAGACTTAAACAATGGAAGGAATGCTTTATAAATGGACGAATTACATAAGTGGTAAGTTGCTGCGTAGTTGCAATGCTTATGAGGTCCTAATACTCTCTCTTTCAAGACGCTAGCTAGCATGACCGCGTTATAAGCGCACTGGAGTTTGTTACAGCGTTAATACACAACACACACCAACACAAGCTAACGTTAGCCAGCATCTACTGTTTTGTTTAAGATTTAAGCATGTTTTTGGCTTTTTATAGGCAAACTAATCAAAAAACAAAGCCTACAAAAGCATCTGACGTTATGCCCCCGCTGTCTGTGGCTGTAATCTCACTTAACAGCTGATTAGTGGCTGCCAACATGGTTCCTGACTTTACGTAGGAATGGTTAACTCTTTGTGCTGTCAGTTGTTACTTAACTTTGTTAGTATATTGCGTTATATAACTTATGGGCTTTTAATTGTACCATAAGGTTGCTGTTAAGTATAAACCTTTGTGGTTTTAGGTTGGCAGCCTCGCTGGTTTGTGCTTGAAGGAGGAACTCTGTCCTACTATGACTCCCAAGAGGATGCCTGGAAAGGATGCAAAGGCAGCATAAAAATTTCTGTTTGTGAAATTCTAGGTCTGCATTTATAATATTTATTGGTTTATGAGTGTACTTAATGTAAATAATAGAATGTAATGAGTGTATTCTGTCTTTTGTAGTTCATTCCACAGACTCCACACGAGTTGACCTGACTATACCTGGAGAGCAGTACTTTTACTTGCGTGCTCTTAATGCAGCAGAAAGGCAAAAATGGCTGGTGGCACTGGGAACAGCAAAAGCTTGCCTTACAGATAACCGAACAAAGAGAGAAAAGGGTAAGTTACTCTTTCTAACTTAAAAAGCTTAGCTCAGTTACTCATATTAATGACACTGAGCTAATGCGTGTGTCGTCTAATATACAGAGCTGCAGGAGAATACAGAGGCACTGAAAACTAAGATGTCAGAACTCCGGCTATACTGTGACCTGTTACTGCAACAAGTAAACAAAATCAAGGACAGTGATGATCTTGGGAATCCAGCTGAGGTAAGTTAAAAATTAGTATGAACTTGTGAAATATGAGAAGTAGCTGCTAATCTAGAATGACAGGAACCCCACAAAAGAAAATAAGACACCAAGAGTCTGCTTTTCCACCACAAATTCACGTACACTCATATTTACTCATAAACATTTCATTTAACATGTTTTCAAAATGAATTCTTGCATATGTTTCACAGAGGTTTATTTGTCCTTTTCAGACTGGCCTGGACACGGGAGACATGGTTAAATCTACTTGCTCAACATTTTTGAAGACATTAGAAGAGTGCATGCAGATAGCAAACCGTACTTTCAACACAGATATGGCCACACAAAGCCCACCAGGATCTCCTCCAGTAGCAGCTATTAAACCACAGAAGGTAAGGGTTCTGCACCATAACAAAAATAATAATAAAATAAATGTAACATGTCTAATTTATTTCTTGCTCACAGATTAGACCCATCAATCATTTAAAGCAAAACCTAGGAGATAAGTAGGTTTGGTTTGCTTTGCTGCTATATAATATGTGCGAAGTTTAAAATGCAATTAAGCTATACTCTATATTTAATTCTAGATGGAGAGATCTGCCAGAATCTCCAGGAGGAACAAGTGCACATGACAACCAGAGTCTCGACTCAGGACCAGAGGGACCAGACGAACCTGAAACAGCAGGAAACTCTCCTTCAGGTAAAGCAGGTGCTCCCCTAATTAATATGTTTTCGATTACGCAATACAGGAATAAAGGAAGTAGAGTGGCATCACTTATGTATTGTGTATTATTATGTATTATTTATGATTTTTAAAAAAACACATTTTAATATTTAGAAGAATAAATACTTCAACTAAACACGTTTTCTTTCTTCAAATTACCATTAAAAGTTTAGTGCTGTCAAAATGTAGTTTGTAGTTGAGAAATCTACAAAAAAAACAACAACAAAAAAACAGCAACACTAGTGCCAACTGTCAATGCTGTATGAATATCATTATAAATATTTTGTCACACCCTTAATTTGAAATAATAGGAATTCTATTACTGTATATGCTATTATGTAATATCTTATTATAGTTTAAGGTTACAAACACAAATCAGTTCTGTTTGTTCTCTGATGTGTAAGGACAGAGAGAGTTAATTAACTGCCTACACTACCTTGCATCTAATTAAGTTAAATCAAGACTCTGGTTTGTGTTCGAATGGCTTAAGTGTCCAATGCCAAAGTCACCTTGTTCGTCCAGTAACCAGTACTGTGTGGCTATGGTCTTTTTCAATGCTTACATGTGTGCTTGTCTAATCTTGCAGACAATGAGGCAGCTAACAACAACAGCTCGAATGACAAGGAACAAGAAGACACTCCTAAGAATAGCTCTGAGGGCGAGTGCGATGATCGGGCAGCTGTGATCAACGAGAGTGACACTGAGTGGAGGAGTGAGCAGAAGCACAAAGAGGACCAGAGCCCTGAAAATGACAACAACAACAGGGTCACCAGCCACAAACAGGAAGACCTTATCGATCCAGAAGGAAACCAACTACAGGACGTGGCTGAGAGCGAGGACTCTGAGCAGGTGGACACCTTCTTCAGCACAATGAGTCACAGGTACGACAATGCCCCTGTGGAGAGTCATATCCTGTAATGTCCCGTCAACTGTCTGCTACTCTCGGCAACTGATCGCAACTTAGACGATGCACCACTTTGAGCTTGTAGAAAAGTTGTTCACATGCACAGCTACTGTTTCAGTGGACCAAACGTGTATGTATCAATCAAAAATAATTTATTAGTAACATTTATTACTGTAAAAATAAGTGTTTTATATAGTGTTTTCTTTTTGATCACATTACACAGAGAGGCCCTCAACTAATACTGGTTTGTAAAGTTTTTATGTCAAAATATCTCTTTTTTATTGTAGACAAACTTGTTTTTTGAGAGTGTTTCTTTGTTGGTGTAAAAATAACTAATATTTAGTTACTACTAAATAAAACAGTATTGTCTCTAGTATTCATTTTTAGAGCTAAATATATGGAAGTGTTTTGCTATAGATCAGACCTGCTCTGTCAGGTTGTGGCATGCTGTTTTCTTCTTGCTTTGTTTAAATGTCTGTATCTTTTTGTTTTGCAGTTTGCTTTGCAAATAAAACGGTTCACTTCAATCTAATATCTGCCCTGTTTGAATCTTTTTTGTAGATTTAGTGATATAAACCTGGACGACGACAATGGTATCCCAACACAAGAGTTTTTGGACTCATGCTATGCAATAGTACCAGTATTAGGTAGGCTGATATTTTTAGTAGCTCCTCGTTATTTCATCTTTTTCTTTAATGCTCATTATATTTTCCATTGACTCCACTTGTCCTGTCTATGCATGTAATGGGTGAAGGGAACCACACATCTTCTCTTTCTTCTTTTCTTATTAAAAATATGTTGATTAAGCAGATTTGTACCTGCAAGTAGAATTACCCATGTTTATGTCGCAGAAAAAGTTTGAACAAAACATTGGTTAACAATGACAAGAATAAATCATTTAAAAACACATAAAAATCACATCACATAAAAATTGTTTCCTGCAATTTGTCAGTAGGCATCTACGTACATTAGTCACATTACATCTTTATTGATGTGACTAAACCTCAATAACTACAAATAATTTCTAAATCTTATTTTGCCAAAAATATACTTTTTTTCTGCATATATAAAATATATAAACAGATAAAACAATATCAGATATAGAGACATTTAAGTCCTTCTGTCACACATATAAACCTTTTATGGATTTTTTCCTTAGACAAATTGGGGTCTACAGTGTTTGCACCAGTTAAAATGGACTTTGTTGGAAACATTAAGGTAGGTGTAAGTGCACCTGTATTGTGCTCTAAATATACATGTGTTCATGTTGTACCTGGTCTATTACATCACCTATGCTTTATTTCAATAGAAGATACATCAGAAGTTGATGTCAGACCCAGACAACTTCCCAACCCTTCAGTCCATTGTTCTGCATGAGGTAGAGAGGGAGGTGGCGCAGGTGCGCAACTCGGCCACAGAGGCGCTGTTGTGGCTGCGGAGAGGACTCAAATTTCTCATGGAGTTTCTGTTAGAAGTGAACACAGGGCAGCAGGACATCCAGAGAGCACTAAGTAAGTATTTTTACAACAACCTCACAAGTACTCAAGAATTGTGGCTCATCTTTTCTGTGACCTAGATAATGCCTATGGGAAAACCCTTCGACGGTACCATGGATGGGTTGTCAGAGGGGTTTTTGCGGTGTGTATATATACATTTTATAGATGCCTGAATACATACTTAATTATTAATTAAATTTGAATTAAAAAATATTTTCTTTTTTCTTTCAGTTGGCCCTGAGAGCTGCCCCATCGTATGCAGGTTTCACAGCTGCCCTAGTGAACAGAGAAGGTGATGAGCTGAAGAGCAGCTTCACCAGCGGCATGCACAGAGATTTAGGAGTCTACCTGCCTGCCATGGAGAAGCAGCTGACCATTTTAGATGCCTTGTATGAAGAATACAACCTGGAGTCTGATGAAGTTGTGTGAAATCAATAATCCGGATTTAGGGTAGGGAAGAATTTTAAAAGACCAGACTTGAGCAAGCTGTTGAGCAACAGCTTGGAGGCAAGTATATGTCTTCTCAGGTATCACACCTGGAGGAGATTCATATCTGCAGTAGTACACAGGGGCTTTGCCAAGCAACAGGTAAATTGTCAGGTCTTTTTAAAAGGGCAGTGTCAGAATGTATGCAGTGGTTTACATGTTTATAATGCAATCTGTGGCATCCACTGCTACTGGGTGTGAAGCTCACTTTACTAATAATACAATTATTACAAAGTACCATACTTTGCTGCATTTGGTGTTTTTTATTGTTGCTTTATTAATAATAAAATAGTCAACAAAGCAACTCAACATTCTGTGGACAAGCCTGGCATGTTGAAACTGTAAACATAGTATGGGACCAAACAGTGTGGGCTGGACACTTAGGTCCGGACACTGATGTTACTGAACATCGCTGCACAAACCTATGCAGAGTAGGCCTCATATCGTCTATTTATTATCAGTAAGTTTACATTTACAGTCCATCATCATGATGGGTGATCGACCATTTATTTAAACTGTTTCTTGCTTAAGTAAAGTGTGTCTCCATCCACTTATGGACTTAAACATAAATGTATACTGTGCATTTTCCACCTTTGTGTGTTGGCCTTGTGTCACTGAGCCATTCAAACAAACTACAGTTTGTAAGTTTTTTATATGAAGAAAATGTTTTAACCTTATTTTTTCCTTTGGCCTTTATTGGTCATTTATTATTTCACTACAAGCAGTCAGCTATACGAAACTGACAACCTAATTCATAACTCTGCAGTTGGGTGATTCATTTGTAAAAAATGTTATAATTCAAAGGGTTTCTTTGAATGTATAAAAGATCAAATCTGGTGTAATAAATCTATAATATTTTACTTTGTGTCTTTTATTAAATTTCAACCAAACCTTACATGCATTTACACACCCTGTGCCTGTGTAAAAAACTCACTGAGCTTAGACCAATAGCCAGGCTCAATTCACCTTGACTCTGCTGACTAGACTAATAAATGGGTGGTTTAATAATATTAAATAGAAGACACATTGATATAGTTAAAGATACTGGTTCAAAACAAAATTTTACTTTGTGTAATCAGGTTAGCCACAGTTTCCAGAAACACAAGTTACTTTTTAGACACTGAGGTATAATTCTGATTGTTCTGATCATGAAAATGTTCTTCAGGGCAATTACGTAAACAAAGTTACATCAGCACAGCATCAGTCTCAGATGTATCTTGCAGTTCAAACAAATATCAAACTGTGTATGGTCATGTGTAGTAAAAACAGTGATCATGTACAAACCATAGACTGTATTATATCTATTATACAGTCTGTGGCACAAACAGCTCCTCACTGGTTCATTCTGATTGCATATTTTCCTCCACATTAAACAGCCTGTCCGCTGGTACTGTTTACTCTTGGCCTAATAAACACTTCAAAGTCATAATAAAAAAATAAACTAGTTAAAAATTGTTTCATATTTTGTTGTAACTTATTTTATTTGTTTATAGTTCATTAAATTCCCACCAATACAATATAAATCATATTTAAAAAATGTTTCACAATCTCACTTCACATACGATCACATAGAAAGCATTATCATGCATAGTACAGCAATTATTTTGGTGCATACAGTGTTACAGGCCACAAAAAGGACATTTTACAAATGTACTTTGTGCATCACACACACTAAAGCAGTGCAATGTACAAACACACAGTAGAGCTATTCTTTGCACCAGTCGAAGAACTATGTATAAGCCCACACTGTAACAGTCTTAAAGAAGTCCAATGCATCATCTGACCAGACGAGAATATGGCTGAGAAAAGCAGTCCCTTGGCAAAGACATTAGCTTATATAAGAAAATTATGACCAAAGTGACAAACAACTGACATCTGCACAATTAAGAAAAGAGCCTTAACTGTGTGTGGTAAGACAGGAAGATCATATAGAGGTATAACAGCAGTACAGTAATGACTGTAAACCACCAGCAACTGAGAGGCTAGCTACAGGTATACACCAGTGGTATTAAGGACATAACAGTTTCAAGCCATCACATATAATGTATAGTTACATAGTACCAATGTGCCTCTGTGCACAGTCACTGCAGCTACCCAAGGGGCTCTACTGTTCATGGCTTATTGGTTCCTGAGAGTTTTATGGCTTTGTAAAGACAGAAGTGATGCACTTCTACAAAGCAATGCAGAAAATGAAGTTTACAAATTGGTTTTGGTTATAGCTAAAACATAAAAAGGGGGTTCAAAAAGGTCTGTAGACTGCGGTCATCATCAAGCAAAACAAACCTTCAGTTTAGGAGAGAAGAGCTGCTATCACTCGTTTTCACAGCCTCATGCATTTCAGTGCCATTCCTTTGGGTAGAATACATTAGGGCAATGATCAAAATTATTCACCATCTTAGATTTTTTACTGCACAGTGAATCTTAATAATCAATTATTATGTTGGGGCTGCCTCCATAGGGTAAAATGCAACAGAGGAGGGCATGATCTAAAGTCTTGCCTGTTAAGACCAAGTGCATTCTATAGCTCCATGGAGCTACACAGCATTTCAGCAGCAGAGATGTCTGGAGTAAGTAAATCTTCTTTAGCTGCAATCTCTTGGAAAGTTCCTTGCATTCTTCTTTTTCTAGTTGTTTTCCATTGCATAGCAACACTCATGTGAAGAACTTGCAATTTGTGGAATCAATAACACAGTGTGGTGTGCACTTGAGATGACCATATGAACTGTAGAAAAGATGTATGTTTGTTATAATAAAACAGATTTTAGTTTCAAACCCTGTTGCATGTAGCTGTAAATGGAACTTACCCTGGAAGATATGAATTACATGTTTGGTATCCAAAGTCTTTCCCATCACACTCCTCAGCGCCCTCATATCGGTATCCATCTCCACAGTAAGCATGTTTACACTCTGGGAAAGAGGAGAGTGCACGATTGGGTATTATGTTCTATGTGCACAGCAAAGTACAACCCAGGGGAATTAAAGAGGCTGACTTACTGACACAGCCGTCCGTGACGACCCTGTTTCTGTCATCACACTCCTCTCCACTGAAAATCTGCACAATACCATCCCCACAATAGCCGTCGTCCGGAGCATTCTCCATGGACTGGAATGGAGTCAGCTGAAATGGAAAAGTCTTGGGGAACAAGGAAAAGCGAATATTAACATAGAATAATAAAAATAATAATAATAATAATAATAAAAAAACGTCTTAATACACTAAAACCAATGCAAATAATTACCCTACCTGGATTGGTAACCAGCCATCAATGTCTTTAAAATACAGGGACCGTTGGTCTTTACGAAATGCAAGCGCATTGTCCATGTGAAGATTCTCCAGCTCTTCTTCATTGCTTACAACAAAGATCTATATTAGCAAAGTATAAGGGTAGCGTATGAGAAAATAAGTTATTTGCTCTTCAATTGGAATACATTTGTAATTTATAATTTTGGGTTGAGTAGCACTTAATTCCTCACCGCCGGTACTTTGGCAAAGTTTCCTCTGGAGGGATAGTTGTCAAATGGAGAATTAGAGAGAGAATTGCAGCCACACTTCCCAGGAGGCCCTGGTGGGCCACGAGCACCCTTTGAACCAACCATGTAAAGACCTAAAAATATGGAACACAATTACAGTCAGAAGACAAGCACCCACAAGTTGAAAATATTCCAGAGAAAAAGTGTGGTAATATAACACAGTATGTGTATATGCACTGACTAGAGTCTACCATCTGTTCTTCTGTTTTAGCCACATGATGTCATGAGGAGAGTATCTTGAGGAGATGGCATTTCCTGGGTGTTAAATAAGACACTGCTACTACCTCGTTTCCTCATTTACAAGCATGCCTCTGTGCTCCCTATCATGTCTGTAAAACTTCCTACTTATTTCTAAACAAATAGCAATGTACTATAGTTGTATTTTGCTATGGTACTTGTCTTGTCTTACCTGTGGCAGCTAATCCAGGAGGACCTGGGTGGCCTGGAGACCCTTGTGGACCTGCTGGTCCCACTGGACCTACACTGCCGGGATCTCCTTTTATTCCCTAAAGCACACCATATTTCCTGTTGACACTTAATAATGCTCTTTTCCGATATGGGGAAGTCATGTGAGCTTACCTGCTTTCCCCTCTTTCCAGGTCTCCCAGTGGGACCTCTATTTCCAGAGATTCCAGGCTCTCCCTTTGGACCCATCTCACCCTTCACAAAACAATTATTAGTAAAACAGTCACTTAACTCTTTGATTAATCCCAAACTCCAGTCCAGCAGCAGGCTCCTACTTGACAATACTCACTTTCTGTCCAAGCATTCCAGGGAACCCCATGGCACCCTGTGATGACATTAAGATGACACTATTTTATCCCACTGATAATATAAGTATATTGCCCTCATTTAATGTCTAATTACCTTGTCTCCTTTAGCTCCACTTTCCCCACGGTCTCCTCGAGAGCCCTGCATAGCACATGGCACTATGTCACTGCATTGTACAAAAGCATCTTCAAAGTCATTACTTACATACCTTTTCACCTTTATATCCAGGTAAGCCCTGCATAAAACATGATGGTTAGTTATTATAAAACAATACGATGTCAATGACAGCCACGGTTAAGTAAAAGTAGCATACCCTTGGACCAATTGGCCCCCTGGATCCAGGTAATCCCATTAGTCCTGGGTCACCTTTCTCCCCCTAAGTAAATAAATACAAGTTCAGAAGTTGATATATACATTTTTGTTCCTCATTGCAAATTACTGTACTTATTTTTCAAGTCAAGAATATGATTTTCTTCAGTAAAAAGAGGGACCTATAACTAAACACTTAATACATTATATCCTGTGACTTACTTTAGGCCCACTTGGTCCTGGCCATCCTGGAAGTCCTTGCTTTCCCGGGAGTCCAGGTTGCCCAGTCCGACCCTAAGAGAGATAAATGTTGAATTTATTCTTCAAAGTAAACCACCAGTTAGACCAATTGAATAAGACTAATTTTGAGTAATGTTTAAATTATAGTAAAACATTTCAAGTACAAATGTGCATGTCCCCAATACAAGTCTATAAGCTCTTGTCCTTATCAAACACCAGGACATGTTGGGGCGAATGACTTTAACAAGCCTTGTTGTTCTTCTTAATTAAATGATGGTCTGTATATAGAACAGGAAACTGTGCTGTGGGAAATGAAATGATTTATGGCCTGGTTGAGGCACTAAGCTAAATTACACTGCAGTGCTGCAAAGCTGCTCAGTCAGGCTCCTGCCACCCAAAGGCTCCCACTGGACAGTTTATTCTGCTCTACAGAGGCAGCACTGAGCACATCATTTAGGAGCTATTTGTCCAAATGCACTGCCCTGACTTTGTAACCAGGCTCAAGGTGGTTTAAAGAGAGGAAGAGGAGCTACAGGCAGACGATGGTTCCAAGAGGTCGCTGGAGATAATGTGCACCTTTTGGGAATAATAGCATTACAGCCTCGGGCCATCAACCACTTGATTCAACCCACTCATTTGTCACAAATTAGATAGATGCACAAGCATAGACAACGCTTACAGAAGGAAACACAAGACAAGACACAAGACCTTTTTTTTCCATTAAATCTAGAAATGATCGATACCTCACCTTTGGCCCAGGTCTCCCGATTTCTCCCTGACAACAGGATGTGGAGGAGAGGACATGGACAATGGTCACTTAATACATTTCCAGCAAGCATCTTTCAACTGCTCAAATTAAAATGTCCAGCTCGTGACAAAGGGCCACAATGATTACATAAAAGCTGATATTATCAGGATGATGTAACAGTAAGAAGAAGGATCTCCTGCTAACCTTTTCTCCTTTGGACCCTTCAATGCCTGGTAAGCCAGGTGGACCCTGAGAAACAAGCAAGAGACAAGAGTCGAATAAGTGGAATGTAAATGATAATAATAATAGATATCAATTAAAAGTAATTTATCTCCAGGACGTGTGCGCATTAACTATAACACAGTAGGGCTGCTTGATTATGGTAAAGCTTTATGAGAATTGTTTGGCTCATAGTTTAAATGACAAATATGTCATGTCATTACTTCTATTATGTCAGAATTATCTAGACTTTTCTGTGACACTTTGTTTTAAAAGTATATGTAGACTAGAAAAGTGGCTCCACAGAAGTTAATTAATTGTATTTTCAATACATTTATGTAATTCAAGGCACAATAATAGAAATTATAATTTTTTTTTATTTGATTAATTGCACAGCCTTATTACACAGGAGCAATTTCAATTAGCTAAAGGCTGACTGGTTGCCATTGATTGAGGGGTGCCTTGTGTGTCTTTTCGATATACTGTAAAAAGCTGCTGAAGCCGGGACTGTTGCTGCTAACACCAAACACAACACACATAGCAGACACACTCAACCAGCTCATCTGCTCCACTTCAGAAACTGGACCAGACCAAGTATCTCTCTTACTACCACTATAGTAATTTCAGTGGGGGTTTGTAGTGGTAATCCCCGGAATTTATGTGAGTTAGTATCCTTTTCCAGTCAGACCACTCTTCACTTAGTTTCTCAGAATGATGTGTGGAGCACTGGCAGGCAGTGGAAAAAGGCTATTTGCGTCTCAGCTAAATGTGGAGTATTAATGGGCCGCTCTGTTGCAAGGGCCAAAGAAATCCCCATGTCTTTGCTCTGCTGGGGTACACGAGCTGGGGGGTCACTTAACAATATATAATAATAATATTTACATATGGGGTGAATACATTGCAATCATCTGGGAGTATGACATAATCACATTCTTGAATCTCAAAACAGTCAACAATGGTTGGATGGATACCTCAAAAGCAGAACATTACCTGAACACCCTTGGGGTTTGGGGTGGTTTTGGGTCTTACCTGCGGTCCTGTGGGCCCGACAGGTCCAGGGTTGCTATTTAAACAGCCAGAACATTTGTCTCCAGTCTCAGTTTCTGCTTCTCCAGGAGAAACACCTTCATCCTGTAGTGTTATTGAGTCAAATTATTCTTTGGCCACACCAAATCCAAAATCCAAATCTATTTATATAGCACATGTTATAAACACTCAGTTTTCAAAGTGCTGCACAATGAAGTAAACAATAAAAGAGACCAAACACAGTAAAAGCTAATTTTGATCCAACTAGTTTAAAACAGTAAAACCAATAATAAATAAATAATAAAACCAGTAGACTAATTCAAATAAAAGAGACACAGAGGCTTTGAAGAACAATAACATCGTATATCAAATAATATATATGTACACTTTTAATGAATAAATTAATCTGCTGAACAGATAAAGAATGCATGGAGTACACATTACCCAAGGACAAATCATCTGTCATATACACCACAATAGAAGGTCACATGACCGACTCACATGAGCATGGCGGCGCCAAAGTGAAGGGGGCGGTGGAAACAGGGGGGGTGGCGGTGGACTCAGCAAACAGCATGGACTGAACCTCTTCTGCAGATGCAGCTCTTGCGCTCTCAGGCCTGCGCAACCGGGCAACGCAGTTATTTACATAAAATAAATGTTACACATTCATATACAGATTTTAGACACACACACACACACACATACTTTTTTTTTTTTTTGCTTTTGTGCAGTTAAAAAATATATCAGATTATATTGTAGCCTCATTTGTGTTCAAGTATGTCCAGTCACACACGAAAACACGATAGTAACAACATAATGACTAATTATTATAATGAAATAAATAAAATAGTTTGAACATGCAAAGGCAATACAATCAACAGGGCAACCAGTGCAAACTATCAAATCACATCAGCAAATTTTGTGGACATAGAAAACCGCTTAGCATATCAGCTCATTCTATTAATAGAGGCGTCTACAGTACATATAAATTAAAATTAAAATAAATGCACATTGCTTGGTAAAAAAGTCTGTGGTATTTTATGTATACAATACACTTGCAGATACAGTATACTGAGTTACACTAACCTGCTGGGAGGAAATTTAAGCTGTCCAAAAAGGAGGAGTGGACCAGGCTACAGCAGCACCACAAAAACAGAGATAGTCCCAGAGGTAGCAGAGACATGCTGCTGCAGGTGGTGTCTGACTTGATTTGAGTCCGAGCCGCGGCTGCATGCTGCTTTGACTCTGCACACCGTCCTCTCCCTCTACCCCCTCCCTCTGCCCCCTTCCTCTCCTTTACGTCCTCACAAGAGGGTATGCCGACCACTGCCCATTAAATCTTTCCTCTGCATCAGTGTGGGCTAAAATTACGGAGGACTGTCTGCCAGCTGCTCCATGTGCCAATATTAGACTCTACTACTGCAGGGGATTCTTATTGTTTCCACTACACCCCCATGGGAAGGGGCTTAACATAACCTATAAGACATTTTATACAAAGCTCTTATCATCATATGTGCTGTTTTTCTAGACCACTGTTTCTGAAGAATATTGATCAGTCTCTGATTAATTTAAAGCATAATGCATTCCCATGTGCCCAGTGAAATCCATTTAGACAAACACAAATGACTTTTAGTGCTCAGTCTGCCCTACATAATTGAATGGCTGCAGCCTTGTGGAGAGGTAACTAAAGCAGAGTAATAGCTATGTTATACAAATACATCCAGGTTTGTTAGCAACACAGTTTATTTATATTTCACATCTTTAAAAATCTTTCATGTATGTCTTTATTACTAAATTATAAAAAATGCATTTGAAAAAGACTTTTTACAGAAATTAAGGCAACTGTGTTCTGGAATACTATACTCGATTTTGTCGGAGGCAAACAGGTTGGTTACAGGTTGGAGCGTGTAAGCCAAGGAAATTCCTGAAAATACAAATAAATAAATAAAACGTATTTATTTTACTGGAAAGAATATGAACATTTTGCTGTTAATTATAGGATAATTTTTGTGCTGAATGCATATGGAGCTTCTTATAGACCCTCAAAATATGATGGCGAGTGGTTGCGTGGATACGTTAAACATAACAAAGGGGTCCATGCTTTCTAATTATATGGTCCCTGAAATAGAAAGGTCAGGTTGAAATGAGGTGGGGGGGGGATTGTTATGTGGTTTACCTTGACTGTATGTTACTGTACTGTACTGTAGCAAGTAGCAATAATATAGGCCTCATATCTGCTTTAACATTTTTAACATTGTACAGAATTGCTAGTTCCATAGGTGTGAGAGGACAGGGATGTTATAAGCAATAGAATTAAATGTAAATGAAACCATAATCATTTATAAAACTCCACTTTTAATAAACTGTATAAAATAATAGTAATAATAATAAGAAGAATAGAAGAAGAGTAGAAGAAGAATAGAAGAAGAGTAGAAGAAGAATAGAAGAAGAGTAGAAGAAGAATAGAAGAAGAGTAGAAGAAGAATAGAAGAAGAGTAGAAGAAGAGTAGTAGTTAGTAGAAGTAGAAGAAGAAGAAGAAGAAGAAGAAGAAGAAGAAGAAGAAGAAGAAGAAGAAGAAGAAGACAAGCTTAGTCATTTCTTAAATAATACTTTACTCCCACCATCTCCCCTTTATTAAGTGCTACTTACTAAACCTGAATTATAATCCATTTAAATTATGTCTTTGTTCATGCTTTATTAAAGCTAATAAAAGGTGTAGTTATTATAAAATAGTACCAAACAAACTGTGTCTCAAATTTCTAGTGTTTTTAGTGAAAGTGAAGTAGAACTTTGTTCTGTCCGACCTTTTATGCCCCATGTTATTTGTTATTTGTTTTGTTTTTTTAATATTATGATAAAATTGCAAACTTACCTGCTGCTTTCTGTCTGATGATGGGTCAATTAGCACATTCAGGAGACACGGCTTCTCCCAGTCACTCAGGCTCAGCTCTAGGGCACTGCGCAGCTCCTCCACTGTCCGGACCAGGAAGCCACGCCCTCCGAAAGCCGCCATGACATTATCATAGCGCGCCTCAGGTAGGAGCGTGACAGGTGGAGCTCTGTCAAAATGAATAGGTTATGTTCATGTTCACATCATTCAAAATTCCTATTGTTTAAAATAGAGCTGAAGGTCAGAATTTGCTTATTGTTTATTTACCATATTACCGATTTGTTGACCTAGTTCATTATGGTTAATGTATGCAATTGTTTATTCACATGGAACAAAAAACTGGCACAAAGGTCAATATCTTCTTTCAGCAATAGCTTCAGAAAATTATGTCAATAATTAACCCCACATATTGTTGTTACTTGAAAAAACTTAAAGCCATAATATTACTCTGGAAAATGTTATTTAATCTTTAACAAATAATGATGAGGTTCAACATTTGTGGATCATAAGAAGGAGCAAAAAGAGCAAATCACCCATAGAGTTATACAGGTCTATCTCCTCCATCTGAACCTATTGTAACCAACTGATATTAACATGAACACAACAGAATAAAATAATAAGTAAACTCCATCACTCACATGGTTGTCAGGTCTCCAAGTTTGGCCATTTCCTTCCATGTCTCAGGATCCACTCCACTGTAAATGCCATTATTATTTACCACGATTATAATAATGGGTAGATTATACCTGTTATAATACAAGGAAGTTATCACATATTGCAGGAGGAGGAGAGTGATTTTTGGAGAAATGAAGCTGTGAATCTACCTGCACATCGTCTCAGCCTCCATTCCCGAGAACCCAAAGGCGCTGTCTCCTTCCACACAGATGACTCTCTGTCCGTTGACCTTGCTTTTCTCCATAACAGCAGCTGCAATAGCAAAACCAAGGCCTACTCCCATTGTTCCAAATGTACCAGCATCCAACCTGGAAAGCATAGAGTTTAATTCATATAAATGTGGGGGGAAAAGGACTATTAACATGCATTATTAACATGTCCAATATTATCTGTGTGTCTTGCCTGTGTCGAGGTAGATAGTTCTTTAACATGGTGCGTCCTATGTCCATGGTGTTTGCACCTTCACTGACAATGATGCAGTCGTGTGGTAAAAGTTCAGAGATGTGGTGGAAAACTGTGTAGTAATTCATAGGCAATGTTGAATGAAGAGCAAGAGACTAAAAAGTGAACAAACAAAAAAACACATTACTTGAGTTATTGCAGTCTTCCTATTGACAATATATTGGTAAATACAATGAAGAAGCACAACTTTACCTGTGATATTTTGAAATTGGCAGCAATCTTTGAATGGAGGGAGCTCCACCACTCAGTTCCAGGAGAATATTTCCAGCCATTTTTCTTAAGGTTCTGGAGTAACTGAAGGGAACAGCGAACTGGTGTTTATTTAGTTTTAGTTTAGCTTTGTCAGTTACAAGAAGTCATTTATTTACTTACCTGAGAAACTACAGCACTGATATCACCCAACAGAGCAACGGTGGGCCTCACATTGTTCCCCATTTCTTCTGGACAAAGGTCAACCTGTATAACACAAGAAATTCTTTTCCATTTACAAAATATATTTAACAAAACACAAATAAAATGCAATATAATTAAATAAATAAAATTCCATTTGATACCTGAATGATTTTGACATTAGGATCAAATCTCGGTGGTTGTCCAAAGTGTAAAATCCAGTTTAGTCTGGCTCCAAGCAGCAGAATAACATCGGCCTGTAGTAAAGCCCTGGATGAACCAATAACTCTATAAATAATCGTGTTGCATTTAATTAATAAGCAATAATAATGTTAATTGACCTTGAGCGGGCTGCTGCAACACAGTTGGGGTGGTCATCTGGCAAGACACCTTTTCCCATTGGGGTGGGCAGAAAGGGCAGACCACTTGTTTCCACAAACTCCCTCAGAACAGTTTCAGCTTGTGCAAAAGCAGCTCCTATGGTATACAGTTACTTTACAACTACTATATAAGAAAAACTGCTCTTATTTGATATTATAAGATTAAAATATACAATACCGTATATTATATGATTAAAAGATACAATACCTTTTCCTATTATGATTAATGGTCTGTTAGATGCTTTCAACACAGAAAGAGCTTGAGTAACTGCACCACTTTCTGCCATACTTATAGGAGGAGGTGGACAGCAGGATACAACTCTGCAGATACAAATATACCAATGTGTTTGTTTACATATACATTAGGTAAACTAACAAAAAATCTACCTGATGTTGCTCCTATTCACCCTTGCGTTGACCATATCTCCTGCAATATCCACATAACAAGCACCTGGACGGCCGTACATTGAAGTGCGGACTGCCTGTGATGCACAGACCATGATGCTATTTTGTCTGTGAGTAGTTAAGACACTTGTGTGGCAAAAAACAGACCTTCTCAATGACTGAAGGTATGGCCTCAAGACTGCTGGGTCTAGCAGAGAACTTGCTATAAAGACGACATGTCTCCACCTAAATCAGATGACTTTAGTTTTTAATGGCAATAAATTCAATCCCAAATTTGATAGTTTTTGTGTAGCTGTTAATAAACCCTCATTGTTGCATTGTTTGTTACCTGTGGAAATTCCTGAAAAGCCCCTGTTGTTTCTTGGTTTCTATCAGAGGACCCTCCAATTACAACCACAGGCCTGGACAGATGTAATATAAACATATTTTATGAAGAGAAAAGGCAGAAGTATCAGCCTTTAGGCAGGACATGGGTTCAAATGTCTTACCAACAGTTCTCATTAGCATTGGCCATTCCACCCAGAGCATGAATGAGGCCAGGACCAGACACCACCAAGCATGCTCCTGGTCTACACCAAACAGAAAAATTCATGTACATACAAACAATTACTTTATAATAAAGACTCGCTCACCTTCCTGTCAGATATCCAATAGCAGATGCAGCATAACAGGCCTGTAAGTAACAGAACATAACACATTACAGCACTGTTATTAACCCTCCTGTTGTCCTCATATTCTGTATACCTCCCGTGTCCTACCGGTCAAAATGACGCGTCTTCACTAAATCCCCAATATAAGCAGTTTAACTGAATTTTAAACACCAAATTTTATTTTGCTTGAAGAAACATTCACCACAAAATGTGTGAATACTTGAGTTTTCCCTTTTCACCTGCATTTCTATAGCTTTAGAAACAAAAGAAATGTGGAAAAAGGAATTTTGAATGCATTTTTATTCATCCGAATGAGTCAGATTCTTCTGTGGGTTTTTTTGCTTGTTTTTTTAACAGTGAACAATGTAAGAAAATATACAATAAAAAAAAACTATATATCTCATTCAACTAATTAGCACATGTAGGGCAGTATGCAAATGCATAGCTGCAGATATATTTCTTACACCTACAGCACACAGTATGTGTTTTACAGTCCTTCTTTGGCAGGCAGAACTGACATCTCTTCCTCTTACTTGCCCCAGCTGGGGCAGCGGCTGTGGCAGCTGGATCCTCAGGTTGATCAGGAGTTCCTGCACTCTGTATAGCTTTGAAAACTGCTGCAGAGGCTTCTGTGCGGGGGACATGCTTCCTTCTTTCAATGAGTGGAGTTACAAGTGCTTTCCTAGCTCTTCCAGGAACACCCTCCTCTTGTTCTGCTTATGAGGTATCCAGGTTGGGTTGATCTCTCTCCAAATCACAAAGGCATTGTAGGAGGAAACATCAATGATGTTGTGGAAGATGACCAGGGCCAGCGGGCAGTCATCCTTCTGCAGCTGTATGTTCCAATCACCTTATCTAGGTTGTCCACACCTCCTTTGTTACAGTTGTAGTCTAGAATGATGACGATCGCTAATGCCAGCGTCTGTGTGCAGTGTGCTCAGAAGCACTACATTCTTATTTTTCTTTGGATGTAGGAAACTAGGGTGGTGATGGGTATGAAGGTAAACTTTGATGAGAAGACCTCTCTCTCCTTTGTTGCAAGCAGTGCAGGTGGGAGCTCAGGCTTGTTCTTTCGAACTGTGCCAACCATGGTGATCTTCCTCTTCTGGAGCTGCTGTCCAAGTTCATAAGAGGTGAAGAAATTGTCACAGAAATCAGCTCTAGAGCCTTTTGGACATTATAACACACACTCATGGCTTCAGCACAAAGAGAATTCAGGGTAATGTCATCTGCAGCACCTTTATAACTTCAGGAAATCCACAGATCAAAGGCACTGTCCATGAGAAGGCCACCTTCTTGTCTTCTTTACGTCTGCTACTGATTGATCTGAGACAGAACTAAAACATTCTCACATTCTGTGGTGTGTAAATAACTCTGTGACCGTGATTTTAATAGAATTTCACTGTTGGGTAATTTTGACCGGAAGACGACCTTTGTACCTTTTTGTACAGCATGCATGATAATGTGAATAAAGGCAACAATTCACTTTTTCTAAAGTTTGGGCAATCTAGGAAAAGTCATAAAATTTCAAGTAAAAAAATTCTCGTTAAGGTGATTTTTGGGGGGGGTTTAACACAGTGGGGGGTCATTTTGACCCGAGGACAACAGGAGGGTTAAGAGAGAAAGAGAGAAAGAGAAAAAGAGCGCATCAGTACTGAAGTCTCTACACCAGCTTCCCGTGAGCTTCAGGATAGATTTTACTTTAAGTACTGTTATTGGTTTATAAAGCAGTCTTACTCCCATTTATTTATCTGATCTGCTTTACAAATAAAATTTGACTGATTGATTGATTATCACATGAAAACTGTGCTAAACGTGTTACACATAATTATTATAGGCCAAACGAGAGTAAATAATAAGGTCTCACCGCCTGTTCGTTTCTCATCCCCACATATTTGATTCCTACAGCCTGTGCAGCCATTGCCACTTCAATAATAGGAACACCAACCACACCAAACATATACTCCACTCTCTGCACAAACAAGTAGTAATTAAAGACATTTCAGGTGAAGTATTGTTCATAAACTTTAACAAAGTTCGTGCTTTATTCACAATCACAATTTACCTGAGCCAGTAAAGACTCAGCGACCAGCCGAGCTCCCGTAATGTCCTCGTCCATGTGTGAGCAATGCAATTCCTAATGTTGTAATAGTTATATTAATTATTCTCTAAGTAGATGTAAAACCAGATAAGGAGGAATTCCGCTAGGTAACGTTACACGGATAGATCCATGGTTATACTACACTGTTAGTTAGTTCCGGGTTTTAAGCCAATCAGAGCGAAGGAAAGAAGAACACGTCCACCTATTCTGTTTGGTCGCTTGTATGAAGTTGGTAAAGTCTAGTTTTTGGTTTATAGGCTGCCTGTCCCTGAGAGTTGCACTTGATTTGTCATTTTCATTTGGTTCGCTCATATGTGTATTACTGTATTACTTTGTGTCATGAAAAAGAAAATCATACTATTATTAAATAAGTCATTTCTTTATTACTCATAAAATATACATCAATCTCAGTAATGAAAGAATTCATTGGATCTCTAAATTCACAGTCATAATTTCTATATACATGCTAGTTTCAAAGTTTCAACACTCAAATTCCAGGTAAAGATTTTTTGTTTTCTTTCTAATGAAGCTAGCAGATATTTTGTACATTTTTTTCCAGTTAAAATCATTTAAGAAATTGCGAGATTTGTTTTAAATCAAAGTGGTGTTGTTTTTAAAATTAAAGCAAACAAACCTGTCAACAAACATTACCTAGAATAAGAGCAAAATTATAATTCAAACAAGAAAAAGCCTTCCAACCATTGGTTTACAATACAGTGTCTCCTCATACCTCAGTGAAACAGTGCTTTTCACAATGTCAATACTTGTTTACCACTGTAGTTTTACAGCTGCCTCTAAACCCCATGTTATTTATGATGAAGAAGGCACAAAATGAACACATAAATAGGAACCAAACAAACACAAATAATTTATTACAGACTAAATCGCTTTGTGGTTAAGTCAATATACAAAAGGTGGTCAATTGACTTAAAAATGATCTCTGATAGTGATATATTTAATCATTTGTGTCAGCAATGTTGTTTCTTGAAGTTGATAACTTGAGCATTGGTTTATTAAAATATTCCTCCCCAAAAATAAACACTTTTCTCCATTTTGACTTGGAAAACTGAAGGACAAGTGCATCAGATGATACATGCGGTGAGCGTTTATTTATCTTCACCACCCCAAGCTTTTCTAAATCAAAACCAGCATCCTTCAAGGCCCTGAAAGGGCTCAACACAAACTCAAATTTCATTCACATAATAACATGTGGGTTAAAACGCTTTTTGGTCCCTATCCTTTAGCTGCACTACCATCCATGTTCAGCTGTTATTGCCCTCATCTACTGCAGGTCAAACACAAGTTTGCCCCTTAGTGTCACTGTGTTGAGCAGTCTCTGGGTCCTGTTTGCTGAATGGATAGTAGGGGCTGGATGAGGTTGGGACGAGCGGGGGCCAGCCTGCGGCACTCTCTCTCTCTTGTGCTCTCTCCTCTGAAGGGGGGGGTCACTTAAGGCTCCTGTTGGGGCTATCTTCCCCTGCCCTCCAAAGCTGGCGGTGGGTAATTTTAAGACACAGTTGTGTTTCTATGGTCCTCAGTAAGTCTCTGAGTCGGAGTCATTGAGCTCTTCATCCTTGAAAAAACCATCATGGTGGCTGATGTTGTTGAAGCTGCAGTAGGAAGTGTGCTCGCTGCGCAGCACAGGTAAGCTGTCAAAAGTGACGCTCTTGGAGGGGCTGGTGGTGTAGTGGTTAATGGCACTGAAAGGAAGAATGGGCGCAGGGGTGCAGGGGGACACAGGCATCATGGTGGCCAGAATGAGGGCTAGGCAGTCTGCCACATCTTTGTTAGGGGCACAGGCCAAGGCAGGTGTATAACCTGAAACATAAGCAGTAGAATTGGTAAAGATACTTTGCATAATCATGTTTTCAGCATCAAGACAAGAAAAGAACAGCTATTGTGATTTTACCATTTTCATCAACCGCAAGTACACTGGCTCCCTTTGCAAGCAGCTCTTGTACCACTACAGTTAAACCATTTCTTGCAGCCACATGCAACGGCCTAGAAACAATAAAAGTAGGGTCAATATTTAACATCTCTTTATAATAAGTAAGTTTGAAAATCACATGTATTCCCTAAAGCTATATGCACATATTCACATATGCTTACGTCTGTAAGGCAGAGTTAGTGGCATTGATGAGGTTTCTATCAGTAATCTTTTCCAATATTAACAAGGCACTGGTTTCATGTCCCTGGTAAATGTAGAGTAAAAATTCAGTAGCAGTTCAGAAGTATTCAACAACAGATAAGAATGCATAACATAAGAGCGTACACACCTTACTACAGGCCAGATGCAGTGCAGTGTTCTTAGCAGCATCTTGCAAAGTGAGATCTGCTTTTGCACTGCTCACAAGCAACTCTAAAAACAGACAAAAGATAAACATACATTATTTAAGTCCACAGCTACAATATGTATTAAAGTGTTAAACTAAAGCCTTTCATACCAACAGCATTGGTCTGCCCATTCTCAGCTGCCATCATGAGAGGGGTCTTTCCAGCAGCATCCACACAGTTAACCTGAGCATTGTGGCTCAGCAGCAGCTGCAGGCACTCCACATGGTCGGTGAAGGCTGCTGCGTGCAGTGGCGTCCTGCACACAGCAAGAGGTGGAGGGATCATTATAACTGAATAATTTTTAACTGAGTCACGTGTTACTATAAAACACAGCATCAACATCATGTTGTGTTTTGTGTTACAACCCAGAAGCAAGTTTAGCATTAGGGCATTCAATCTCATAAGTGAGTATGTGTGATGAGATACCGTAAGACATACCTGTCTTTACCATCTTTGGCATTTACAATTGTAGGCCCCAATGTATCTATCAGCATCTCAGCTGCACCTTCATTATCATGAATGCTATAAAAATATAAATTAGGATTACATTTGAATGAAATATGCATAAACAATAATAAAACACAAACTACAACTTACACAGCACAGTGGAGAGGGCTGAATGCATTGCCCACTGACTTGTGGAAAACTTCTTGCTCTAGCAAAGCCTCTACACATGTATCATGACCTGTAAAAGTCACCAATTAAAAACCTTCGATGTATATTTTTATTTCTTGAGTGTATTTATTTCAGATCAATAAGATTTTACAAAGAAAAAGTTCTTGAAGACATATGTACCATTGTAACAGGCCCAGTGTAGCGGGGTATAGCCATGGTTGTCTGCTAAAGGGGGTAGTGTCTGCACTGACTGAGCAGCATGCAGCAGACTTCCCAACACCCCAAAGTGTCCACACGCAGCTGCCAGGTGGATGGGGGTGCGCCCTTTACAGTCTCGCACCAGGAAGTTTGCATTGTGCTGAAGAAGGGCTTCTACACACTCCTCATGGCCAGTTACTGCCTGTAGTACATAATCAGAAGAGAGTCCATATATATTCCATAGCACAAATACATTCTATGATATTATGTGGTCACTGGTCAAATATTACAAAATGATGAACAAACATGCACTTACTCCTCTGTGGAGAGCTGTCCTCCCCCATTTATCTTTAGCCTCTACACTGGCTCCTTTATTAAGCAGAGAATACACGCTGTCTGTGTGTCCACCAAGAACTGACAACATCAGTGGTGTTCTAAAAATGCAGACATCATTAACAAACAGAGTCGCCACTCAGAAATACATTATAACTACAACTTAAATTTCTACTTACTGCCCATTTCCATCTTTAATATCAACTGCACTTGGAAGCTCTGCATCGCCAATCAATAAACGCAAACATTCAGAGTGACCATTTGTAGCTAAAAACAAAAAAAAATTCTTAGTATCACTTCCTAGTACAATTAATGTATGTAAAATGACTGTTTATGGGACAAAGTACAAATACCGGCTGCATGAAACGGGGTCCGCTTTAAGGTGAAGTCCTTGACCAGGATGGAGGCTCCCTGGTTGATCAACACGTCCACACACTCCACATGACCCTTGAACGCAGCCAAGTCCAGAGGTGTACGCCCTTGACTGTTTCGTACGTCCAGATCCAGCAAAGACTGTACTAACACCTCCAAAGCCTGGTGATGACCGTGATATGCCTGAAAGATTTTATTAGGAACTTTAGACAACTTATTCTCAAATGACATACAGTACATGGCTACTATGGTTTTTACAAGAAGAATACATACAGCAAGGTGCAAGGGGCTAACAGGGGCTCTGACATCTGAATCATTCATGATGTCTGTTCCTGAGGTTTCCATGAGCTAAAAAAACCCAACAAAAAATAAATACATTAGAATGCATCATTATTTTGAGGTTACATTATTTTTGTCATTCAATTGCAAAACAAATATGAAAATGACAACACACTCACCACATCTAGGGGAGTTTCACTTGCAATCTAAAACAAAACAACAATGTTATACTAAAACAATTACTGAAATGATTGAAATATAACCACAATGTTCTCACCAGTTCTAGACAGAGGCGATGTCCATAAGCAGAGGCGTAATGTACAGCGTTATAGCCGTGATTGTCACGGATCCCTGGATTTGCATCATTCCTCAGTAAATATTCCAGGCACCTGCACACACAAAAAACAAGACTTTATGACATTAGAACTGGGAGAAAAAGATTACTCCAGAAGTAATGCTGCTCTGCAAATGGTCTTTACATTTATTACAATATCTTTTGAAAACACACCTCTTACAATTTAACTGTGACAATTTTACACTGCTATTAAAGAATGATCAAGAGATTTTGACATAACTTAACTTATGTATAACATATTTCAATAGAATATATTAACCAAAATAACTACAATCAAGATTGATATTAAATAGGGTGCCGTGAAATAGTGGTTTAGGGGCAAGCCTATTTTTTTTGTCTAGTCCTGACATTTTTAGTAAGTTCAAACCAATTTCTTATCATTTCTTATAAACATAAAACCTAAAATGTAACTTATGTACTAGATGCTGGATAACGCAGACATTTACAATGCATAAAAATTTTGTTTATCAGCTTGACTGGCATGATCTGTACTTCATCTATGACACGTACTTTCCATCTGTGTCAGAGGCAGCAGCGTAGTGAAGAGGAGTGCAGCCCCTCTCGTCCAGGTCATTCACACTGGCCCCAGAGCCCACCAGAGCAAAGAGGCACTGGTAGTTACAATTGGCTGCAGCGTAGTGCAGTGGGGTCCTGAAAAAACAACACATCACAGAATAAATATCTTATCTTAAAACTTGTCCTGTACTGATCTGAATTCAGTCCTGATGTAGACTAGGTTTGTTCCTGTTCTTCAGTTACTTTAGTACCAGTCTAGTCCAGGTTTTATTCTGAGTTTAGTCCCAATATTGATGTTGCAATGTGAATGTAAATTAAATAAAAATCTCCGCATGCTACAAACCTCCCAAAGCTGTCTTTTCTATTGAAGTCTGCACCAGTGTTGAGAAGAAGATTCAGACATTCCAGGTTTCTGAACACACAATACAAATTCTCAGTTGTATATCAAATGTATCCAGTGTCTTTAAATATACACCATATAAATGGCATATTATATAATGTGTTACATTATGTCAATGATTAAATAGTTTTGCAATACAGCATGTTTGTACCACACCACCACTGCCACTGCAAAGTGGAAACAGGTGAACATAAAAATGCTGAGCGATCCTAAACTTACCCTCCAGCAGCTGCAGCATGTAAACACGTCCTGCCGAAGTCATCAGGGGTGTCAATATCAAAGCCTGTGTGAATGTACACAAACAGAAAACAAATACATTACTTACAATAATACATTACAAAAATGCAGGTTTGCAAGGGGCTACATCAACCAAAATTAATTTAAAAAAGGCAAACAGAGGGAAAATAATTATACATATAAAATAACTATTAGTTGCACTTTCTTGAGTGAACAGCATGAGATTTGTAGTTAAGCTGAATTTGTTCAAATTCCACATCTATTGTCAGAGAAGAACATAAACCACGACTGTTATGGGCCCTCATGACACAATGTGTTACCCAAACACAACTAAATGCAAACTAGAAAATAGTACATACTTTGTTACTGGAAGTTTAATAAGAATATAGTGTGTAAGTGAAAGTCTATACCTGATGACAGAAGCTTCCGGCAACAGTCAGAAAATCCACTAAGAGCAGCCAAATGCAGTGGGAACATGCCATGAATGCCTCGTCTGGAAAATAAAAATTGAGTGTTTTCAAACATTTGTAAATTTCTCTTTGTGCAGGAGTCAGACTAAAATAAATAAGACCAAACTGCCAACATATCAATAATTTCTTTGGCCATGAAAAAAGGCATAGACAGACGTGCTGCTGAGCACTTACTTGGCTGTATCGGCTCTGTTTGTGATGAGTGTGTTGATGAGGAGCTCGTGTCCGTAACGAGCGGCAATGTGCAGAGGTGTATTTCCATTTTTGTCTTCACAGTCGATCTCAGCACCTTAGGGAAAAAGTCAGCAATTAGCAAGAGGCAGGATGTAGCAATAGTTTTAACATCAATTAGGCAGATGTTAGGAGTCTCACCATTCTCAATAATAGCTTGAGACCTAGAAAACCTGCCGTGGATAGCGGTCATGTGAAGGGGTGTCTTTCGATCTTTACTCTGGAGGTAAAAATAAATAAATAAAAATAAATAAATAGCACACACTTAATGTTACATGGAAAAAGGTGAAAATCGTCGTCACCTTGATGTTCACGTCAGCTCCATTGCAAACCAGAAGCTCCAGACAGAGCGCCCCGTGGCGAGAAGCAGCCGTAAAATGCAGAGGTGCAAAACCTTTTTCATTCACCTGATTTACATTTGCACCACATTCAATTAGCTCATTCACAACCACGTCCTGGCCGTTGTAGCAAGCCACATGGAGGGGTGTGTTTCCATATGCATTAGGCTCATTGATCTAGGAAAATAATTCATCAAACAATTAGAAAAGTAAGATATGAACATCAATAAATACAAAAAAATAGGGACTTACATCAACTCCTAAGTCCAGAAGGTATTTGACCACACTGATCATCCCACTGGAAGCTGCTGCATGTAAAGGGGTGTATGATTTCTTATCTTTACAGGCCACCTCTGCTCCGTGAGATGCCAGCAGCTTCACAACTTCTATGTGACCTAAATTATACAAAAGAAAATATGTTACCAGTGTTTTAGTAAATGTTTGCATTAAATGATACTGAGTGAGAAAGGATGCACAGACTTATAAGTGATGCATACCCATATAAGCTGCCCAATGGATTGCCCGACGGTCCTTCTTGTCAAAGGCATTTATATTGGCTCCCCTCGTTAACAAGAGGCGCACCATCTACAAAAGTAAGTGAATCATATTAATCCTAAATTTATATTAGGACATTACAATGGGTAATTAAAAAAGGCACTTGAATATCATGAAGTATTATTGAGTGTGTGAAGATTACCTCCAGATGACCACTGAAGGCTGCATGATGCAGAGCGGTTCGTCCTGCTCGGTCTGACACATTGACATTACTGAGCAGAGGCACCAGGGCCTCGGCACAGCGCACAGCCTTGTTAGCTGCTGCAACATGAAGTGGAGTCTGCCAATTCTTGTCACGTGCATTTACATCGGCTGAGTGTTTTAGCAAAACCTGGACAGCCTCCTAATGGTGGAGAGGCTTCAATTAGGACAAATAATAAAACACTTAAAATATTTAAGGAAAGACGCATGTCCCTACCTCACTACAGGAAGCCACAGCCCGGTGCAGAGGAGTAAGCCACTTGTTGTCTTTGGCATTTACCCTGGCACCTAAAAGTCAGAAAAAAGATCAGCATCACAACAGGCTGATGAGTGGTTGGAGTAAAATACAATAAAAAAATAAAAAAAACACTTTGCCATTATTCATTAATTTCTTTAGGCTACTAAATGTACTGATAACGTGGTAATTTACTAGAGGATTTTTTAACAACTGTGCTGTCACTGCATCTTTTTGTAGACTAAATACAATACCTGAAAGAATCAGTAGCTCTATAATTTCTGCATCTCCAAGATAAGCAGCAGCATGCAGAGGAGTTCGCTTTTCATTATCCTGAAATAAACAAGTAAAAGAAAATAGGATGAATTTCAGTTTACATATACTTTACTATACTTTCAATACCACACAAGCAGATATCAGACAAATAATACATACACATATTATAGAATAAATGACATATGGAATATGGAAATAAATTGATAAATCTTGAGAGGCCTATGTTGAGCAAAAACATGTTGTGATATTTGACAAAGTTTGTTACATATCTGAAGCGACACTTAACAATTACCTGTGCATTTACATCCTCTTTCTTAAAAATAAGAGCACGAACTTCTTCTGGATCTACACTGAAAATGGCTTTCAGCAGAGGAGGCTGTGAAAAAGAAAACGTAAGTGTCACAGACAGTGAAAGACAGTGATGCACCTTACAAATCACTCCACAAATACTTGATGATGAGGTAATTTTTAGTAATTTACTAAAGCACTGAGTCCTAAATCATCACAATGTTCGATCCCCATCAATTTCTAAATGGTACATTTAGATACACAGAATTAAACTTATGCTGAGTAGAAGGCCAAACCAGGCCAACTCAGTAAGATTATACAAAAATATGTAAACAGGCTCACTTAAAAACAATCAAAATGTCAACTGAAACAAATCCCAAATTGCCCAGACGTGTCTTCTGTTGTGACACATGCCACTTGCACACTGTAACAGTGACTCACCCTGAAGTGGTTAAACAAGAGTTGTACATGTTAGAAAATTGTGAATGGGTTAATCTCAATACATTTGGCATTAACTGACCAGAAATACAGGATTTAAACATATTTTTACAATAGAGTGCCTGAGCCAACATATCATTAAAAGGAGATACAGTCTCTCCACCTGACATTAAGCTCAAGACAGGCTCTGTTGAATAGAAAATGCATCAAGTAAATAAAGGAATTAACATTGCCAACAATGATAAGACCACATTTTTAAAGCACTAGAATCATCCAGCAAAAACAACAGCACCAGGCACAACTACGCACCGCATGACTAGTACCAACAACACAGCCCATGGTTAATTTTATAGTTTCATACAGAACTAAAAACAATGTTCTCTTTGTTTTCATTTATTACCCCATGGCAAAAATATCCACAGGGCACAGAAGAGGATGTTCAAGTTAAGCAAGGCCAATAAAAACAGTAATTGCACTTTTTCCACAGAGCTTTTGATTGCAACTCAACTTTTCATTTTGCATGAATAAAAAAAACAAACAAAACTAAAACTAAAATTTGTTGCTGTCGATTTAAAAGATAAGTACAGGAGCTTGTTTGTCCCAGGCAGTGAACTTCCTCTTGATACTGGCCGGGCTGGTTAATATTATCACCATGGAGACTGCACACAGCAGCCCAGGCACACAGTCAGTGAAGTGCACACACAAAACGACACATGCATGGGCCACTAAAATAGCAGCGGCTGCAAAACACCAGCCATAAATGACAACAAGACTATTCTAGTATCAAGTGTCAGATATTCTTTAAGAGCACAATGATAAATACGAGTCATGCAAGTTAACTGTGACTTTCTCTCCGGATATATTTAAAGGTGAAAGTACTCATAAAACCTTATATGACAAATAAAAGGTACCTGAAGTAGTTCTCTCTGTAGTTATAGTAAGTACCACTGCTTAATTGAATATTTGCTTTTCCAGTAACCATCAGAACCAGTCCAACACTAAATTCAGACAAAACTGGTCTAAGCAGGGCTAAGAGAGACCCGCAATTGCACTAAAATGCCTAATCAAGTCTAAAATGGCACCATAGACCAAGAAACGCCAATGTTGTGACAGACCACAATTTTGGAAATATTGAGATAGATGGCAATAAGAAGCGTTATGTTTATGGGTGTGTTAAAACGTTTGTTGACATAAAATAAAATCCATTCCACAATTATTAACTAGGAAAGCATATTGAAGTTAGTAAAGCATCTGACCTAGACAGGTTAGGAGGTGTCGTTCATACAGAAATTTCTGGTAAAGTATTCAATGAGTATATAAGTCTACATATTATTTTCTATAAAATATAATCAAGAATTTACTTAAACATTTAACCAAACGTGTCTATCAAACCAGCATTCCCTCTGTTGTGGTTATCTTCTGTTGCCAAAAGATACAAAACGCCTGTAGAAATTGGCTCCAACGCAGTGCATGACCAATATGATTACAAATAGCCCCTAAAATCTGGACAAATTACAACTACATACTGATCATCATTAGCAGTCAAAAGCCGTCTGAGTAGCACACATGTAGCTGTAACGCTTTGCTACGATTTGGCACTAGTTTTCAGTAGGTTCAGAAAACATCCAATTGATTTTTCAGTCAAACACCAACCTCTTCACTAAAAAGACATACACGAGACATACATTTTAGTGCTTTCATCTCAGAGAATAGCTGCAGGCACTCGGATTACATTACGCTGCGATGGTGAAATCGCTGAAGCTAGCGTTAGCACAAAAACTCAAAGTTAAAGTCGGATTTGGGCACTACCATCACTTACCTGGTCTCGTATTTTGAGAACCACCATATTTCTGAGGTTTTAAAAGCTGTCATACAGTTCATATAGGGGTGTTTGGCTCGTTCCGGGAAGCAGATTTGGTAGCTTTATGCGTGCTCTCTGCTAGGCCTAATGGGACGCTAGCAGGGCTATTTTGCTAGCTCCCTAACCCGATGGCATGGAAGCAAAAACCAGCGGAAACTCCATAACATTGCCGCCACCGTAACGCACCTCAGAAATAACCTGCTTTCTGATTGGCTAGTTGTGTTAAAAGCTTAAGTACCAAGCGTCCTCATTGGCTCATTTTTGGCAACACGCGAGATATGTAGATCATCACTGACTGCGCACCAGGTATTTCTTGGTTAAAATGTGTTATTTGTACACGGATAAAATTCACTATTACTGCATTGCCACGTTAATAGGTTGTTATATTAAATAGGCTACTTATCAAAGCTAATTGTCCCGTCTTGACACTTCGATAGGCTCAACATGCCCCTCTAGTGTTCAAGCACACGTTTAAAGGTAAAAATAGCGTCATCCAATGTGATTCACAAATCTTTTACAAATTATATGCATATAGAATGTTAAATTTTTACTTTTCAGGACTACAAAGAGACTATTTAAAGTGAATGCAAACCATGTAAGGACAAGCCTCAAATTTAATACAAGACTAGGTCTTATTTAATTTTATTTATTTAAATCAATTAAAATGTCATCAAAGTAAGCAAAATAGACCTTCAGGTAAACCTGTATGATAGAAGAATAATTAGATAACTGCAACAGATTTGCATGTGCCACAGATAAGCATTGATTTCTTAAAATCTCATAGTAACAGTTATTATAATGATGTTAGTATATTGGTTAGTTTTATAAATAACATCTTCTCTCTTGATACAGTTGTACACTTTACAATTGCCTTGTTTTCTGTAGCTTCACTTTCAGCTGTTGTCTTTTCCAAGTCTCTCTCTTGAGCCAGGTGATGGGTTATGAACATTATGAAGTAGGGCCTAAAGACCCCATAAGGATTTGGTGCCCAGATAAAAAGTGAGCATCTTCAATATTTTACCGTCAGTGCAACCACGTAAGATTTCACTAGACCAGAGATTTGGATATGAGTAATTTCAGTCATGGTTTCATTATTATTTCATTATTTTTAGCTGATTCTTTTAGATAAACTGTGACAAGCATACCTAATTAAATTCAATTGTGTATAAATTAATTCTCAGGTATGATTTTGCAAATTTGAGTGACATACTCAATAATCTATAGTCTTGCCTTTTTATTGTAGCCTGTTTTATTCTTTGATGTTTGTGTATGGTGTGATAAATTGATGATGTGTAATATGAATGTCCTCTTAGCAATGTTTGACCCTAGTTTGCCGTTCTCCAGTCTTTTTTCTTGTGTACAAAACAGGTAGATGATGCCACTAAGATCGACAATAGCAAAGAATTCCAAGTGTGTCTTGAAGGTAATAATTTTAAATCCTTTAATTCTACATGACAATAGCTCGGGTGAGCCTTCTTGGTTGTAGTGTTTTACGCGCAAATATCCCCACTGCTACTTATTAACTCTTTTCTTGTATTTTTTACGGTTGCAATCTAATACAATCACGGGTCTTACTTCTCTGATATAACCACAAGAGGGCACTATTTGTACATAGATAGATTGTACTGATGCCACAGGTGCTATTTATAGGGAGTGTTTTTATGCTGGCGCTCTTTCATGTGCATAGTTTTTCTAGTTACATAACACAAAACTGCCATCTTATTACAAGTTGTGGCCCTTTAGTTCTGTGTCCCACAAACATTTGTTTCCCTCGACAATAACAAAAACACAAGAGAAACGGGGGCAGTTTATTTTAGCTCTAGTAAAATGATGGATGATTGTTGCTGTGCACCTGCAGGGCAGAGCGAGTGGCCGAGGCTGCCCCCGTCTGTCTCATCATGGAGCTCACGCTGAAGTGACACAAGGCCTGAGTGCATCTACCTTGGCTGCTTGATCCCCGTGCCCTCCCCCCTTTGACCAAACATCTCTATTTATAGCGTTATCGTCACATCACCACTGTCGCATCTCCTGTGGCCTCCTCTCTTCATAGTCTGTCTATAAGGTAAAATGTAGCCCTACTCTTTCCACCATGCTCGTAGTGATTGTTGCAAAGCTTTCGCTTTAAGTCTAAATTGTTCCCATGAAAAGTAAAGTTTAACCCCTAACTCCATGCCCTACTTTTGGTTCTAATTACGACTCTAAAGAATTATTGTGGACTCAAGAAAGCAGATTTAAATAGTAAAATAAATAGTGTAATACAATGTTTCTCAAATTGTGGTATGTGCTTAGGCTTCCTGTGGAGGTACATGGGGCCTCTGCAGTTGGAGTATTTGTTTGTCTTCCTTTGGATTTATCATCATAACTACATTATCTATTGCTTATTCACATTTTTGACCATGATTAACCCTAGTTTTGGCCCGATATAATTCAGGTTTACATGTGGACCCCAAATCTTTTCTCAAATGGTACTTGAGAGCTACTGGCCTAATATATAGATGATCACATCAGAATTAGGATGATACACATTGATGTGTGATTTTAATATATTTTAGTATACAGTTGCTAAGATCCAGAACTCATCATCATGACAGTAGCCCATTCTTTTCAGAAAGTTATCACTGAACAACAAGTGCAGCCTACACAAGATTTAGTCAGTCAACATCAGACTCATCCCTCTCAACCAATCCAAATGACCCTTTCTTTCAGAGAATATTGGAGATATTGACACTGGATTTGTTCTTGGCAGGTTAGCACTCACAGATGTCTGTTCTGCTCAGATGGCTTGAGGGGGCAGGTACCATCTGAGCTGTGTCACACACAGAAAATCATTTTAACAGCACCTTACACTTAGCCTAACACATCATCTCATAGTACCAATGAATGTGTTAATGAGACAAAATGTTTTAAAGGGAGATGCTCTTGGTAGGCGCCTGTGAATTAGTGACTGGACATCAAAAGTTTGGATGGTCTAATAAGAGTCAAGGTAGTGTGTGATATGCTGATAGAAATCAAATTGTACTCTGATCCCTGTGACAGTATATGATTTTTTGATGGCAGTGCCTTATTGTGACTCAGTACTTTTCTGTTTGATGAAGCTCTGTGCTTGAAACAAAGATAATTTCCCACCCACCTCTCCCATTTGTCACCATGTTTTGAGTGACAGTGACATTTAACCAATAACAGTGTAGTATAATTTCTCAAGGGGTGCAGTTGGCTTTAGTTGCCCTTTAATGGAATATTTATTGTAATATTGTCCCAATGGTCCCAATGTAGCCTAATTTTAAGAACTGAAAAAAACAGTAATCGTGCCCATTTTATTTGGACAAATCAATCATTTCAGTTCTATCATCCAAAAGAGTTAATCTAACAATTTACAACTTAATTTCATGAGGTGATCTTTTACCGGATGGATGGCAATCTATGATGGTAATAAATGAGAACAATCACAAAAACTACATTTTTTTCGATAATAATTGTAACAGAAATTTTATATTGTGACGTCCCTAGCGTGTAGTCAAGCAACAATGGAGCTGCTGTTTTTATGTAGTATCTGCGCACTGAATATTAGTTATTGACAAAGAATCATTCTTTGACAGTCGCCAATGACAATGCAAGTGACAAAGTAATGCATTATCTCCACTTAGTCACTGTGATTTGTATTTATGGCATTCTGCTGGCAACAAAAGCAGTTGGAAAGAGGCTCATCACTTTTGATTGGAAGAATGATGCATAGATTTGAATGAAAAAAACATAAAACAGAAGAAAAACGTAAAATTTACACTAATTATTTACTATAGTTACATCTGAAGTGTTGTGGTCAATTTTGTTTTTGGACATTTTTGGAATATGCAGATCCCTTTCCCATTTAAAGTCACATTTTTCCCCTGGGACATTCTGTTCATAATTTCCATTCCTTTTCACCATAACCTATAGGGCGCATTAGCTGTTTCGCAAAACAGTTTATCATGTGTGATGTAAGTTAACTTGTTTGACCAAGTGTTCACTTTATATACAGTGAAGAGGAGCCCAAATGACTGTGAGCATAACGTGTTCTCTGCTTTCACACTTTGAAATCAGCTCTCCTCCTGTCCATCACTGCTGAAATGGCAGATGAGTAATAATTATATAATTGCGACGCTGTTTCTAATTTTTCCAGTATCGTTTTCACGACTTTTGAGTATTGCGTTTTGCCTAGATAATATCTCCATTGCTTTATGACCACACACTTGTTGACGCATGATTTAACTTCTCTTTGCATGGTTTAGGATCTAATATTGGCTGTTGCTGGAAGTGAAGATGAAAAATCAACATGGCGTTAGGTAACCAGGCAACTGCGTCGACTCGGCTCCCTGATTATCATTTGTTTTGTATAGTTCTGATGGCTAATACTAAGTGACTGTCTGGCAGTGATCCAGCTTTCCCCATCCCATCTCTGGCCCGCTGTCAGGAGGCGCACACAGGCTATTTTTGGCTGCTTTGTTCCCTTCAAAAAGACAAGTCCTCCTCGGTCTGGACATGACATTTCTCTTAGTCTGGTAAAGTGGGTTTGGGTCAGTGAGGTTTTTTTTAGGAAGGCTGTTGTTGATGCCCAGAGGAAGGTGCTGCTTTTTCTGTCATGTTATAATCTCTAAACAGTGTTGTGGTGTTTTATATTAGGGGTTGTACGGCTTGCATTTGGGCTGCACAATATATTGCAATATAATTTTTATTACAATGTGAGCTAGCACAATTATCATGTCCCAAAGGCTGCAAATCTTTAGATAACAGAATGATAATAGAATGATAATAGAATGAACAAAATAGCCTCCTTTCTTTTTATATAAAATTTTTGTACCTGTAGTTTATGATTCTTGTATTAGTTTGATCAATGAGCTCCTGAAGTTGTTTACATTATGAATGGATGCTCTTTTTACACACATGTATATTGCAAATCTAGTCACAATTATTTTTTCCCCCAAAATTGTGCAGATTGTATCATATTTTGGGAATTGAATGTTATCCCTATATTCACAAGAGCAAGAAACACTCAATGCTATAGCCCTCCCCTTTCTGAAATAGGCTTACATTATTGCATTATTTACCAGATGTTATAGAACAATTCCAGGTGCCCATATATAAATAATTAGCTTTGTTGTTTTCTTAAAGGGAGTCATACCATGTTTCTTAACACATAATTCACATGTACAGAACATATGTCTTAAAGGTAGGGCATTAGCTGTTCCCATTACCTGTTTCTTTGACCCATATTCACCCACAGAAGCTGTAACAGTCTTCATTATCTCCACACTATAGCTACGAAAATAACATTTTATATTGAGATAGAAAAGTTTTATACCATACTGTGGAAGATTATAGCCAATTATGTTACTTTTCTTGTCCACAAGTGGCACTAGCTATAAAGATATTCATCATCTATTCAGTTTAGGATTGACAGAATAGTCTGCTTGACCAATATAGTATATTTTTCCATTATTATTAGAGGAGGAAGTTGAAATATAATGCTTTGTAATGCTTTTAATTGCACTCCCTGTTTTAATAATCATTTTAATTCATTTGAGCATCTGTCTTTTATAATTTCTTCAAAAGATCCTGTGTTTGTTTTTTTTATTTTTAGACCACCTAAACCTAAACCTGTTTTTATCTAAGAATTTTCTGAACTTTTAACAAGGTTTTAATTCTAGGTGATTTTAAGATTCATGTATACTGCCCTCTCAAACCTCACCCTCTAACTTCTCGATTCATGTAATTTATTCCAATTAGTTCCCACCCACTCAAAGGGCCATACACTGGATCTGGTTTTAACCTTTGGTCTCAGCCTTTAAAATCTTACTCCAAAGATATCTGTAGGTCTGATCACAAAGCAGTTTTAATTGATGTTATTTTAGCTCTCCAGCCTCTTAATCATGGCCCATCTTATTATTCACGTGTTTTCAACTCCTCCTCTGCTCTTAATTTTTCCCAGCTTTTTACCTCAGCTTCTTTTACTTCTAACCCCAATTTTTCCCTGGAGGAGTGGCTCTCCTCTTTTTATCAAACCACTAATTTGATCTTAGATTCTATTTCACCTTTTAAAGAAAGAAATTCTAATGGACCGGCCCTATCGTGGCTCATTGAAAACACACATAAGCTAAAAAAGAGTTTACAGACAAAATGAGTGAAAACAGAAAAAGACCAATGTGAATGTGTTCTACCTCATGGAATTAAAAATGTTTTTAAAAATTACCAACAAACAGTCAGAGAAGCAAGGACCATATTTTAATCCAACACCATTAGTAAAAACAAGTCAAATCCAAGAATGTTATTTCAGATTTTTGACTCAATCTCCAATCCCAAACCCCTTCTTTTTAATGATGCATCCATTGAACTGTTTGAACTGTTTTTAAACCATTTTATTAGGAAGGTTTCTGACATCAGGAACTAAATATCTGCCACTAGCCAGGCCATTTATGTTAATAGAGAAGCTCCAGATTTTAATTGTTTTACTTAATTTTATGCCTTTATCCCTTTCTTCCTTAGCTGATGTTTTATCCCACATGAAAGCGACCACGTGCAGTTTGAATGTCATACCCACCAAATTCCTCTAAGATGTTTTTAATGTGGTTGGACCCAGTGTTTTATCTATTGTCAACCAGTCTCTATCGGAAGGCCTCGTCCCATCCCATTTTAAACATGCTCTGGTCCAGCCACTTTTAAAGAAACCTAATTTAAGCACCTCTGATTTAAAAAAAATTTAGACAAATTTCAAAGCTTCCATTTTTATCCAAAGTTTTAGAAAGTCGTTTCTAACCAGCTTTTAGATTTTATGAATAGAATTCACATCTTTGAGAAATTTTAATCAGGTTTAAAAGCATCACAAAGCACTGAAACAGCCCTCCTTAAAGTCTCTAATGATCTTCTTGTAGCCACAGACAGAGGAGAGTGCTCAATTCTAATTCTTTTAGATTTAAGTACAGCTTTTGACACCACTGACCATGTGATTTTAATGAACCACCACAAAAACTGGCTTGGCATCCGAGACATTGCTCTTGATTGGTTTTATTCCTATCTTTTAGACAGAAACTTTGCAGTCACTATAGGCAAATTTACTTCTTCCTCTGTCCCCATTGCCAGTGGTGTCCTTCCACAGCTCTGCTGACGACACACAGATCTATCTCCCACTGAGACCAAACGACCCTGGGAGCCTGGCTGCTGTGTTAAACTGCTTCAGTGACATGAACAGTTGGATGGGACAGAACTTCCTACAACTCAACAACTCCAAATTTGAAATCATTTTAATCAATCTACTATAGTCTCGGCCTTCTCACTTCCAACATCACCCTTGCTGCCAGAAACTTTGGCATAATTTTCGACTTTCTCCTCAACTTGCACCTTCACATCAAAAAAGTCACCCAATCCTGTTTTCTCCACCTCCACACAATTAGCAAAATCAAAACTATCCTCTTCTGCCCTGATCTTGAAAAAATCATCCACACGCTCATCTTCGTCTAGACTATTGCAACTCCCTTCTCTCCGGCATAGACTCAAAATCCGCCATCTGCCTCCAACTGGTTCAGCACACAGCAGCTCAGCTCCTCACTCGGCTTAACAGACATCAGCACATGACCCCTGTTTTAACTTCCCTTCACTGGCCGCCCGTGTGTTTTAGAATCGATTTTAAGATTTTACTTATCACTTTTAAAGCTCGTTTAGGTCTTGCACCAAGTTATATTTCAGAACTTTTAACCACGTACAAGCCCTCCCGCAGCCTTAGATCCTCAGGCTCTTCCAAAGTCCAGGAGCCTTTTCAGTCCGGGCGCCTCTGCTTTGGAACGATCTGCCTGAGGAGATAAGGCTCGCATCAGTATGATCTTTTCAATCACTTCTTAAGACAAATTTTTATTAGTTGGCCTTACTTTAACTGGTTTTACCGTGATTTTATTCCTTATTCTTTTTTATTCTATTTCTTTTTATTTATTTATTTATTTATCTATTATAATGAATTGGATTCTTTGTATCTTTGTCTGTTTTTGTATGCCTTCTGCATTCTATTTTTATGCTTTTTGTATTGTTCTTTGCTGTTTGTACAGCACTTTCTAAACCTCGTTTTTAAAGGTGCTTTATAAGTAAAGATTTATTATTATTAATATTAATATAATTAGCCATTACGGCAGTATATAACAAGCGATCACCTCTTAATGTCATTTATTTTTTAATCTTTCTTATACATTATATTATAATGTGTGAGTTACTTTGCCCAAGTAATTCACTAGTGAATTAATAGTCTAAGTGTGTTAAAAACTCATTTCAGATATTTAGAAATTCCCCTAATGTATGATATTTTAAAAAGCTAATTTGTGTAATGAAACAGCATGGTGTCAGGGGTCTAGTGTCTTGACTATCTATCAATAAATCACTTTATTCAATTCATTCAGTTAAATTTATCAATTCATTAATACACAAATTCCTACTGACTTTTAGACATTATAAATAGTAGTTTTTCTTTCTCACTTCAGTTTCTCTAATCAAGTTTGGGTTGTAAATAATTTGTGGGTATTCTCTCCTTGACAGGCAGATTGTCACCTTGCTTTCCTGGGGCACTGCAGTTGCTGATTACAGAAAGAGAGAAATGCCAAACTTCAGAGCGCTATTCTGGCCTATTTCTTCTGAGGGGGTCTGAACTCCGGGGTCATGCTAAACATCTCTTTGTTGTGTCCGTCTCTCACCTCTCCTCTCTCGCCGGTAAGTTTTGCCACGCATGCACAGCCCTCCCCACTTGGCGTGAAATGTGCAGAACAAACGCGTCCAGGAATTACAGCGACATTGGACACAGCAACGGGGGAGCTCAGAAGTGAGGGCCTCGTAAAGGTCTCGCTGGTCAGAGAGGTGCGAAAGGGTTAGGTGCCCATCTGTTTTCAGTGCGCTACACTTTCAGCTTTTGTTGGATGGCTTTTTCATGCTGCATTCTAAACTTTACTTTTTGCTTTTACAAATGTTTTTTGTTGTTGACTATTTTGGTCATAGGTGCTTAAGTGTCTTGCAGTTTGGTATGTGTTTGCATGCTCCTAAAGATATCAGACTCCTAGTATTAAAAGAATATAGTACAGTTTAAGATTATTGAAACATCAATATCCAAACTTTAATAAACAACTGAAACCAGCTTAAAAACTATACGAAAAGACATGAAAAAGTAGATCTGAACAGGTATCAGTACTGAATAAAAGAGTATGAACAGGACAAATTGGACTGTTTTATGCTAAATGTTTTGTTTTGTGCTAAATATATCATTCTGTTGTATGAAAAAATAATGATTTTGAGCATCATTGTGATTTCAAACAAATTTACATTTTTTGTATCATGACAACATTCAAGTAGTGAAGTTAATCCCTAAATTGGCCAGAGCATATCAAGTAGTTAACTCTCTAAATACATGTTCAGATATGTTTTTAGTAAATGTTTTAGTTTTTTTTTTTTTTAATACATATATAAACTACATTGTTTAAAATGTATTTGTTACTTCTTCTGTTAAGCTGTAACTATGGAAATTAACGTAGAAATTTTAATGTCTTGGTCTTAAAATCTCTCCTAGGTTTATTTTACAAAACCCATGTGAAATAGAAGTTGAAAGAGAGTGATAGAAAGTCTTCTGTGTCTAAGTTGGGTGACTGTGGGATTTAAGATGAAAGAAAGAGGTCAGGCAGCCACTCCCAATCCTTGCTTCATGTGCCTATATATATTTTCAGCACTTTTGGTAGTTAATCTTAAATATATGTATTTTTAGAGAGCGAGAGATTTTGTGTCATCATCATAGTCATCGTCAAGCAGTCATAGTCAGTTTTAGCACAAACCATTCTTTGTAATTTAATGGAAACAGCATACAAACCATTGGGACAGACAACGCAGGAAAAACACTCTATTAATTCAAGTAAATTAAAGTAAACGATGTTTACTGATCATTTGTGGATCACAGTAACACCCATTTCCACAGCTGAATCATGGCTGTTTTGAACTATTGTTATTTGAGGGCCTAAAGATCACAAAAGCTGACTTCATCCAAATATAAACCATCATCTTAATCTTTCCCATGCCAACATTTGTGGTGTGCTGCAGCTTGGTGTGGACATTTTTTTTCCCCTTGTATTACAATTTCCAATTAAATGTAATATTTTCTGATCAAAGTCAAAAATATGGCCTTCAGTATTAATTTCATGATCAAAAACAAGACATGCTTTGAGTCAGTTACATTGTAAACAAAAACATTTATTCTCCAAAGTTCAAAATTGAGACAACATGCTTATACTGACGGTGGATTGGCTGATCACTAATCATTGAAAATGATCACATTTCACTTTGATTAAAATGTGTTCAGTTGCACAGCTCAAATAAATGTCACATTAAAAGAAGTTACTATTTAATAGGTACAGTATGTATCAATTCTTGTGGAAAATCTGCCACCTTCTTGTCACCATAGAAACGTCATTGCATTGGCTGGAATGTTCCACACTATGCCATGGACTCTACTTCCATGGAGACAAGAAAATGACACCACCTGGCCAAGTTGCAAGTCAGATCTGTGGAAAGTTGAAGAAACATAAGGCATAATAAACATAAGACTTAAAAAAAATCTGTGCAATTTAATAAATGCAAAAAAGATATGATTAATGCCATGTTGTGGAACATTCACATCTCCACAGAGACTAGAAAGAGGTGTGCCCTACACCAGAAATGTTAAATAGTGCACCTTTAACCAAATTGTATTTCATTGTTGGCTTCTAAAAATACCCAGAGAATGTATGAACCATTATCAAGGGGATATAGAAAAACTGTAAGAGATTCAAGGTCAGTCAAGCAATGTGTAAAAATACATGTTAAGTCCCTGCAGGGTTATTGCATATGGAGCGGTGCAGACATCGGATCCATTTCCCGCTGTATACGCACAGTCTGTCTGTGATAATGAGAGGAAGAGGTATTGTTGTTGCGTGTGAGCTTGGTGACACCACAGGAGGAGGGTGCTGTGAAGAGCTGCTGGCGTAGGTGGAAGTGCCTGGGACAATGAGCGTCAGTCCACCCTTCCCTGCACTAAACTTCGTTTCCTCTTCCACTTTTGTCATGAATCTATGAATGGGGTTTTGTTTTCTGCTCTTTAAAGGTTGTCAATGAATCAAGTTAAGAAATAAGACAGCAATAAGTATTCACTGACCACTTAGCTCAACAATACAACAAAACAATACATGTAAATGTGTGAGAAAGAGAACATGTAGTTAGAAGGACTATGGCGCTTTTATCTAGTGTAGTTGATTCAAACTGTTATTTTTACTGTTTCATTATATTTTAACGTATATTCCTAAGGTTAGGCTTTTATTAAATAGTTTTTCTGTCATAGCACTGCTGTGTGGAACTACAGCTTCTCAAGAGGTCTAACTCACCAGTGATTAACCCGTTGTACAAAAAAGGTGAAAAAAATCTCAAAAGATCATTTTTTTCAAGTGTACACAATCTTGTGGCAATTTTATCATGCGAGATCTTATGGCATGAGACCTTATATTTTGTTAAATATTACATACTGCTGTCTAAAAAGAGTATATTCATGATCACTGTGGTATTGGTATCGAGTAAAAAAAAAAATTTCTTTCTGTATAGTAATCAAAACTGAAATTTTGGTGACACTTATACATACAGTCATTTTGTGGGTCTGTTTGGAACCTAGAAAATTACTATTGATTATTCACTTAGTCAGTGATGATTTCAATAATTGATTAGTCATGATTAAACCGATGCACATGTTGCAATTTATTGACAAGCATCTGTATGTGATTGTTTAGTCATTTCAAGGGGGCGCTTAAATTGTGTCAGTACAAAAATAACAAAGCTGACATTTTGCCCAAGGACTGAAACATTTTTTCTCAGAGCTGTGTTCTTAACAAAAGTATTTATTTAGTAATGCTTATATAAAGATAATAGCTTGGGGCACTTGGGATGCTATGATTACCCACAGTTTGTAAATAAGAAGGAGAGCTTTTGTTTTTCTTGTAGCCGCTGGGATTTTCTAAGGTCAACTGAATTTGGCTGGTTTCCCTCAAAGTCACATGTGTCTGCTGGGGCCTGTGTGTTTGTATGATACATTTGTGGCATTTGACTTCAGCAGGCGTGGTAAAGAGCTGCTGATGCAACCACTACTTCACACTGAGGCTCCAGGCAGGAGTCTTCTCAGAATCCTCTTCTTCTGCCATTGGTAACGACTAGTGAAAGCGTCATTGGGTTTTATTTTCTCAGAGGCTCTGATCGATGCTAAGCTGTTCAATGCCTGTCTATCATTAAGGTAATCAATAGTCTGTTGTGTAGGAGGCGATGGTGAGGGGAACAAGGAGTCAAATGAAGTAAGTTTATGGTAAATGAATGTAGGACGCAGTAAAGTAACAACATGGCCAATTTACGACAAACACAGAATCAATGGTTTCCAGCACAAATGAACATATTGATCAGTAAAAAATGCTCTCTGTCCCCTGCTTGCAGTAGGCTTTTGAGCACTATGGCTATTTTTAGAAAACCTATGATGAAGCCTGATCTCCAGGTCAACACATAATACAATACACATTTCACTTCTGGTGCTGTGTTATAGATTTACCTGCCATAGCAACTCAGAGTAAAGAGTCTTTTATCTGGAACTTTTCCCTTTTTTTTTCTTTCTTTTTTTTTTTTTTTACTAACATTGCATTGAGATTTGTAGTTCTTTTTTTTAATGATCACAGTTATACCCAAAGTCCACATTTTAAATTCGCTCAGGAGAAGCATTAACACAGACGTACTGGCTGTTAAACTAATAAAAGAAAAAAAAACATGCATTTCAGATCATTTTTGTGGAGGATTACAGTATTAGCAGGTTTATACAGTATTAGACCATAAACACATTTTTGCAGAGGACTTCATATTACCATTTGTTGGTAATACCGCTGATGCCTTTTCAGTTGTGTTTTATTTTTCAGCATTATACTTTTTAATACTTTAATAGCGTAAGATAATTCTCAATTATCTGGCTTTGTCTTCTTTTTATGAGAAGTAAACACACCCTATAACAATACAACCCCATCTGTGTTAGATTTTATTATTGTCAAAACTTCACAATTAACCAAAAAACATCACTGGTTTTATGTGTTTCATGTTATTTGATCCAACCTGTAAAGTGCATTGACTCCTGCCTTGAAAGTCCAACAGGAAATACCACAGGACGCCAGACAGAGTAACCCAATAAAAGCAAGAGTGCAACCATCATTAATGGGCCAACGCACTCACATCACATATCCAGATGTACAGGCTAATTGGATTTTTACCATCAAATCAACAGTTTGGGGCCTTTGTGCTTTTACTAGGCTAACCACAAGGTAAAGGGAAAATGGGCTTTTTGAAGTGACAAAACCTTACCTAAGCTTTTAGCAGGTACGTGCTGGCACAGCTTGATACTCTTATTAATGTGTTTTATGCTCCAGACTGATGAAGAAACTAACATTGACGTCTTTTTGAAGTGGCTGGTTTTGGTATTTTCTTGCCAGAGCCGGGGCAAGTGCGGAGTGGTCACTGGGGGCACATGACGAGGTACGGCAGTTACGTCATGAAGAGCTGTTTGTTTTGAGAGGCTTCTCCAGGGAGGGCTGTCTCCTCTGACTGGAGAAAGCAGCACCTGCCTTGATCACATCCGCCGCCTGGTCCCAGGTGGCATGATGAAACGATGCATTAACAGGATGGAAGACAAACAATTACGCTTCTGTGATATTAGAAAAACACTCAGTATTCAAAAGTGAAAATTTAGATGGAGATATGAAAGGCAAGGATTAATTTAGCATAAGTAAAATGTGTTAGGCTTGTCCTTGTATTTAACACTCTAACACTGTATCAGTCAAAGTCAGAAGAAAATAAAATCTGGTTTTAACTTTACTGGTGAGGGGTCTGTCTCCATGAAGATTATGTCTTTGCCTGGAATGTTCCACAGTATGGCTTTAAACGAAGGGGTGACACCATCCAGCCAAGTTACAGGTCAGATATGTGGAGAGTATGTGTTTTTCAAGGTACTTTTGAGTAACAAATAAAATGCAAGATTAGGTTTAATGCTATACTTTCAAGATCTACAATGACATATTGTGGGTGAATGTTTCAGGGTGAATGTTTGTTCACTATCTTGAAATTTTGGAAGGTTGCTGGTTCAAATCCCACCCGAATGCTTAGTGAACCACCTGATTGGGGGATAAAGAAGTTGTTGGAAGGGATTAGGAATTTACGTGAATCTGGTCCAGTCATCACCCTCTGTAACTGTGTGGAGATTATATGATTGACCGAGCTGTTCAGCAACTTAAATTGTCAAGAGCATAGCTGGATAAGACAATGTATTATTCTGGATAGATTACCATAAATGTAAGACATATTGTGCAGCATACAAAAAATAGACCTACCTTTTTACATTACCAAACCAACTGTGTTTTAGCTCATTTGTTGACGTCATCATATTTATAGTCAATTAATGGCAGAGAGGCTACTCGAGGGACGCTGAGGCTTTGAGTTAATGCCCAATAACAAAACACTGTGAGTCATTCCCACCCACATGTGCATGAGCTGTGATGGGACCAGACCAATTTGTCGCTGGATCATCGCAGTGCTAAAGAGCTGTGTTTTTCACCAGCAGCATTAATACAATATCTGTCGCAACACTTAAGTTTAGCTGCTGCTTATTTTGTCCTGTTGGCTGCTTCCCTGCTGAGTTTCATCATGCTCAATGTGCCACATGCGACCGCGCTTTAGTAATTAAGCTAGAGAGCTGCGATTTGATGTGAGCAAGTGTAGTAATTGTAGTAATGTAAAAAGGCTTAAGGAAGTAAAAAATATCATCATTTTAAAGTGTTATGTAAATGTGTTAAGTAAAACTAAATGACAAAAATGGCATTAAATTAACACAATTTAGCACGAGTCGACTATATGGGAAATGAACCAAAACTGAACCAAACAGCAAACAAAACCTGAAATAAACCATGATAAAAGCGGGTCCAACCCAGACTAAACTTGCATAAGTGGGATTTATCTCGGCCACCAGGTCTAAACAAACTTGATAAAACTGAACTTATCAGTGTCCTTAAAGGGCACTTGTAGCTTTTCTGATTCTGGTTCTGTTAAGTGCCTGTCTCCGTGCATTAATGCTTCCCTTGAATGTTCCAAAGGACATTTATTCATTTATTACATTTATTCAATTACATTTTTACTGTGAGCAAGGTTGCCTCTCCATAGATCTGACCTATAACTTGGCCTGATGGAGTCACTTCTCAATAATATCTGCATGGAAACTAGCAGGTAGCAGACCTCCCCACCAAAAAAATGAAATTCAAATCTGCTCAGGGAACAGGGCAGTATTAAAATAAGTAATAAAATTCACTTAAAACTAAATTTTATCTTTAACTGCAAAATATACCTTGACTTCTTAAAAGTTTTATTGTATCAGTACCACAGTTTAAAAAGCACTGTGATGTTGCACTGCAGATTTGCCCTTGCGAGTATCCACCAAGCATTTAAACTCAAGTATTTTTGTCACTTGATCTGCCTTGTTTTTATCAAAGCCCAGCCACATCGCCAGTGTTTTGATATGAGGGAGGTGACAGCCAGTATAGCGCCCCCCCGAGGACATGTTTGTATGAGTGGCAGTCCGGCAGCAGGCACAGCGTTGTTCACACTTAAATGCTTTAATAGGACTAAAGTAGACAAAGGCCACCAGTGACGCAGTATGAGCTATTATGGTCTGGCCACATCCAAGGTTTACTGGACCCTGCCTATTGGATGGAGCTATTTCCAACCACACAATCTCTCTTTGGCCCCAGGAAGTGAGTTATAAATAAAAAGTGTAGGTTAATCAGAGCTAAAGTGTCCCAGTAAACTCTTTTTGTCTGAGGAGCAGACAGAAGAAAACTATTCACTTTGTCACACTTTTGTCACGATACGTACTCCTTGAAGATATAAAAGGCATGTAAACAACTTTATTTTGTTAATCTATAATTTCCATTTTACATCAAATAAACAAGACCAAAGCAACCCAGCAAAAATTTAAAAAAAGAAAAGTTCCAATACATTAAATAATAAAAATGTGTTTCCCCCAAACTCAAATGTTGTAGGCATACTTTCTTATCGTCTTATCATTTGATTACCTACTATATTTACCCCATGCAACGTTGTTTTGTATCCCCAGGTTACAAATTATAAAGTATACAAAGCAGGACCTATTAAATCACATTGGCATTGAACATAGCAAATCTCACTGAATATAGCATCTAAGCAGGTACACATTTATTCCAGATTCTAGCTTTATTTCTCCATTCTATCTCTATCTCTGCACTATAGGGCTCTTCTTATATTTTTACACTTGCACGTTATTGTCAACTTAACTGCCGTGTGCTAGACAGGCCTACTTTGCTTTATGATAGATTGCCATGGATATAGGTGGTGTAGGTGTAGGTCAGTCTACAGGTTTAGTGCTTGTCTGATCTCTGCATTGTGTGACAGATGGAGCTCAGGGACTTTAGCGCACACCTTGGACTTGAATCCTTGTTATTTCTGTCTGTCTTCCTATTCATCTTCCAAACAGCATCACCCCAGATTCAACTATAAAATGTGTGTCACTGTAGGGATTTGGCAAACCAGATTATCCTATTTATTTGCGTTTATATTTAGATGGATTAAAAGGCATCTGTAAATAGGGATCTCTTGCTGGGCTGTTTTAAATCCAGGGGAGCAAGAGAGAGAGAACTTGCGTATTTCCTAGTGCGGTAATAAAAGCTATGAGGGGTTTAAATGTTTGTCCAGCTGAAACAACACAGTGAAACTCCTTCTCTCCTGCAGCCCAGTCGTCAAAGCAGCTCACAGCCTAAAAATAGACCACGCTGGCTGGCTGGCTCCACGCCCCTGGCTCGGGGACAGGTCAAATTATGAAGGAAGATGAAAAATTTAAAGGCACAGACACTTGCTTGGTCAGAGATAGCCAGTCCTACATCCAGATAGGACATTTGAATTGACATTTAAGACAGTTGATATTAGAAGCAAGTAGTGGCAGCTGTAATAAAGCTTTTCTGTTTCTAACAAAGTCTCTGTTTTTGTTTATGTTTTGCAGATCCATGGTTTCAAGGAGGTGTGAGCTAGTCCCGGTGAGCTTCTTGACACACTTTGAAGGCCTTATGTAATTGTGATCAAGCTGTTATGACATCGTACAGTTGGGTCGCTGGAAAGCATGCTTCCTGGGAAACATTACTGGCCTGAATTCACACTTAAACTGTGCTACACACTAGTAAGTTAGCACATTCAAGCCAATCTAAGTAATCAAAAATAATCAAAAGTCTTAATAACTGATTTCATTCAGTATCTATAAAGCTTGTAGTGTTCACTAGTGTATATTAGATTGTATTACAGATGTCAGGTACACTGGTATGCTATTTTTGCATTCTCTTCACAACCTTTGCCTTTACATGTTCCCCTTTTAGATGTATCAAGGTGAATCTCTGTACCCGTGAAAAGAGATAAAAATAGCAATAGTGTGAAAGACTGGTTCAACAAGTCAAAAGCGCACAGGGAGAAACCAAGCCTTCATGTGTGTGTATATGGAGAGCATTGGAGTCAGGAGCGGTAGCAGAATAAGACAGCTGTGTTTGGTGGGGTATTTTTAAACGCATCAATGCTGCTCCAATCCCCGCGCCTCGCCTGACCTATTTTTAGCCAGGGCTGGCCATTGTTCTATTTCTGTCACCTGTGGGGCCACGCAGTTGTTGATTCACATGCAAATGAAGGCTCATTCTCCTCCCCTGGCTTTAGCATTACTGCTCCAGAGTCTTTCTCAGTACACACCGCGCAGCTTTTCCTCTGGCAACTCAGATCTTTGCTGCTGCTCAGAGGTGGACTTTACAGAGTGTTTTGAAGAAAGAGTAGTTATTTTCTCTCTCTCTCTCTTTAGTGCGTGCTTGACAGAGAAGGAAGGAGGAGGCAGAGTGAGTGAGTGAGAGAGAGAGAGCCTGTTGTCTTGGTCGCTTCCCCAGAGAGCGCGGCTGAAGGGAAGGGGTGGCTCTTCTGGTGACAGGAAGCAACACTACGGCTTGCGATGAAGACCTGAGCGCTGAGTGGAGTATGCTGCAAACCATTTACGAGGGCGAGTCCAGTTTCTCCACAACAGACATTGGACAGTACCAGCAGCAGCACATTGCCAGCAGCAAGATGCACAACGTGAACAACTCAGGTGAGAAAAAAAAAAAGATAAGACAGACTCGGGCACTCGGACATCCTTCTCCATCCTGTCACTCTCCTCTCCTCTCTGCTCTCTCTCTCTCCCCCTCTCAACTCTTTTCACTCTCTCATTCCCAACTCAAAGATTCTCAGTCGCAGCAGCAGCTTGGTAGGAACTGGTGCTTCTCCTTCGTTTCAAGGTATTTACTGTGATGTTTACCAGCTCTGTTCTTGTTAGTTTAAAGTGTTTGGCTACAGAGTGTTGCTTTTGACACCTTAAGCTGTGTGTTTCTTAGTGCTGAGCTTCACTTAGGGGATGTTGCGCTCGTGTTGTGCAAGGCTGTTCTGTCACTTTTCAGGAAGCCGGATTTTTTTTACAGAAACTCTTAACTCAACTGTTGTAAGATACCAACACAGTAACTCATTGTCTGGGCTATTTTGGAATTGCATTGAAAGTGGGTGACATCAGAGTGACGGATGACTAGGCACTGTTATTGACTAAACATGAGTCATGCTTCATTTGGTTAGGTTTTTGTTACCGGCTATTGATAAAGCTGTTATATATAGTCTTGTTGTTTTGTTAACATGATTTAACATCAGTGTTGCGTTGCTTTTAGCAAATTCACTGTCAAGGGGATTTCTGGGAACAAACAGAAAGTAGTCATATGAGATCTTAATGGAAAAATGCATCCTGCCCTTTGACCCTTCTGTCAATAAATATCTTAACAACTTCATATTGTAACTTCTGTATTAAAATAACATGACATTGTGAAGAAACAGTCCACTTATCTAGCCTTTAGATTAGAAAGATTTTATGTTTGTCTCAGAGCTAAACAACAGATACAGAGGAGTGCACAGTGAATTGAGGCTCCTTGCGTATTCTGTGGGTCAGCTATTCTTAGGTGAGTTATTTTCAGCTTATGGCATTAGCCTGCTAAGATTAGGCATGTGTGCGTTATCATTCCATCTTGGCGCGTCTCGCTCTAACAGTGGTTTGGAACAGATATTTATAGAGGTTCATTCTGCTGTTTGTCAGTCTAATTTGTCCTTTCCACTTTATAGTAAGTCATTTGACGGTGACTAATATTACCGGGCTTAAAATATCCCTCTTTTGTGTGGTGGTTGTCATTTTAATGCTGTTGCCATAGTAGACATCCTTCATCAGCATATCATTGAAGAGGTTCAAAGTTCTTGACATTTTTAAAATATTACACTGTCCCATTGCATCAATAGGTTTGCATTCATTTTTTCTTATTTGATTATTTCTATTATCAAAGTTCTGTCAAAACACTTCTAACATGGGCTCTGTTGTTAATTAACTCCCACAATGCATTTCAGTCAGGTAAAATATAATGAAAGACTGGCAAGCAACCTTTCAGACAATAATGACACTGTAGCTTTCAAGTCCTCTCATCTACATCTATTCACTGGGTTACATGTGAAGTGCTCATTGCAAAAGGGACATGATACAATGGAAACTGGATTTGCAAAGTGGATTTGAAATAATAATGATAAGTTCAAAACCATGCATTGTTTCTTGTAAAAGCCGTATCAGCTGCATGTGCATATGGTTCAGACAAGGAGTTTAGCCTGCACATTTCCAAACAACAGGATTGTTGTTGTTCTGGCCTGTGGCATTAAGGTCAAGTCCTAAGTCTGGATTTAACAAGACTTTAACAGATTCCACTGTAGTCCTTTTCAAAGCTATACAACATAAGAAAGTACTATCCTGTCCTATATCCTATGCTTTGTTGAAAAGATCTCTATGTAATCCCTCAGTCGTCCAGGTAGGATCTATAACAAAACAAGGTGGAATTCTGTTGACTTTTTCATACACCTATGCTTTGTAATTAAATAAATTCACAAATTAATTAACTCATCTTATTTTAACCACAGAGTAAAATACATAACATAACACAAAATAGTAATAAATTTTTTTTTTATCCAGTAGTTAGTCCTTAGGCAAGTAAGCTGTCCAAGAGATGCTGGACAACACAAAGAAATGCAAAAGAGAACTAAGAGTGCCTGACTCCATTAAGAGTCAGACACTTTCCTTTTCACCCTCATTCATTCATTTACTAGAGTCTAGACCACTAGCTACAACAAATACTTTATTCTAAAGAACTACACACCCCTAAACATAAGAGCAGAAACAGACACATACTCCATTGTTTGATGAGGCGTAAGGTCTAAGAGCAGTACATGACTGGTGACTCTTTTCAGTGAGCGCTGTTTGTTAACAAACAGCCTGAAAACTACAGCTCTCAGCTGCAACAAGGACGAGCCCAAGTCTTAAAAATAAAGACCTGTTTCCTGCTTTAGACATGCCAGCTGCTCAAAATAACAGGCACTTAATGAGAGATCCAGCACCACATTGCAGTCCCCAGCATCAGCTTATTTTTGCCCTCAAACATCTCCTCTATCTCTGCTGCTATTTATACTGTCAGAGAGGGAATATAGATCAGCAGCCATCTCCACGGGCTCCAAATCCATGCAACATACGACATGTTTAAGGAGTAAACACTGAGCTGCTGGTGCTGTTATGTACGAAACACTCGCGTGCGTCACAGATAATATATACACTGATAATTGATGAGCTGTGGTCAGCATCACACTGAATAAAAGCCTTTTAAGCAGACATCACAGTCTATGGGGAACAAGTTGTTCTGCAGTGATCCACGTGAACTCAGTACACGAATTATCGCATTTATATGAGCAGGGATTCAGGTCTGCTACAGGCCATTGCTTTATGCAACACCATAAACATAAATGTGTTTTGTACACAGCTAAAGTTATAGAAAATTATGACAATGTTCTGTTCTACCTTCATGTCAGCACATGATCTTCCTCCTTGAACTGAATGATTTGCATTTGATTCTAATAGTACTGGTTTGAGACCCATCGTGCTTGCGCCCCCTTGTTATATATATATTTTTAAATATTGTTTGTCTGTTTTAAACACATTAGAAAAGCACATGAGCGATAGCCATGCATTTAGGCCTTATATGCTCCTTGTTGCATCCAGCACCTTGCGCTAAGAAGCACTAGCAAGCTGTGTGATATTTTGTTAATATTGTGTAGGCACTAATACTCATATCAGTTACAAGGTACAGGGTTTAAATGAATCTCTCAAAGTGTTATAGCCATACTCTCTCACACGTGCGGTGACTAAATATACGTGTTACATCTTGCTCTCATGTGATGCTGGTGGTGTCATTGGTGATGTGTGCGAACGCTGCTAATGTGGCGGGAGGCAAAAAACAGACACTGATCCAACGTCTCAAATTAAGGCTGTGATTGTCGCCGCGACCGCCGGCAGGGCTAATGAGAGGCATCGCAGTGATAGAAATAAACACTTTGGAGAGGCTGGCCCGCGACGCTACTGCAGCAGGAGTCCCAGCAGGTCTGCGTGAGTCACGAGTGAGTCCACCCCCAGCCCCCTCTTTTGGCAGGACCTCCACACTCAGGAATGTGGGCATGGGGCTGGGTACTCATCTCCCCCTGGTGCTAAAAACAAATTTGGGAGCTGTCATTCATAAATCTTTGGCTTACCCATGCCTGGAGATACCTCTGTGCACTTTCGCCCTGGATAATATTAGAAACAAATCCAATAACAATGTATTCTGGGATATTTTGACTTACTTTTTTAGATATTCAATCACCAATATAATTAGCAAAATATTACTAGTTAATAATTGTAGAATTTCTATTGTGTCATATTACATTTCACAATTTTGATTTGACTTTGAAATATAGAGCTAACAAATACCACTGGGATTCAAATGTCCTTTTACAATGCAATTTTAAAAAAGTGACCTGAAAATTGATGTTACATAAAGTCAGTGCTACGCCTTTTTTTGCCCGTGTTAAATTGAGCAGGCGGCCCTCACAACTGTGACAGTCTTCTCACATTGTCTATATTAAGCCCCTGCTCAGAAAAGCACTTATATATAGCCATGGTTACTGGTGGTGGTTCCGTATTCTCTGCGTATTTTTACCATACACAAGGCATAGATTTCATATTGAGGTGGCGGACGGGTGCGCTTCACTTAAAATACACTTTATGTGACAGTAAATCAGAAGTGTGTATATTTTAGTTCTGGTGGTGGCTGCACAAGAGAGACATATTTCATTTCTCTTTCTCACATTGAGGTCCAAATATAGCACACCTTCAGGGCTTATTATGTTAGTGCAATATTGTCACTCTTTTGGACATGGCCAGCCTACTATAATAATAGACCCGGCACATACTGTGGTTGTCTCTAGTGCCTCAGTTATCAAAGGTACCTTAAGCCCTCACCCTTGGCCCCTCCTCTCCGCACCCTCACCCTTTTCCCCATCCTGCTCTAAACCGCTGCCACTGCGACGCTCAGCGAGGTGCCCCCATCAAAGTGTGGCTCTTAATGCCAGTCACAGCCAGGGCACAGAATGAAATATGAGATTAATTAGTTATCACAGTGGTGAATTCTCCCTGGCAGCAGCAGGTGTTTTTTTCTATATTTAGGTCCATTAGCCGAAAGCAGTGCTGTCTGACTGTATGGTTCACCAGTTTCGTCCCTGCTCACAAAAATAGTTCTTTGTCAAAGTACTTACAAGCTAAGATTAATATGATCTGTCAAGAGGAAGAGTCCATGCTACAGGTGCCTGCTCTCCCTGTTGTTCAATGGGAGCTTATTTTAGAACACACAAAAAGAATTAGAGCACAGGACTACCACTTCTCCCTCTTTGAACATCTCAGAAAAAACAACAACTTTGAAAAGTAGCCCTGGTGTCAGCAGGCTTTTGCAGCTCTTTTGTCTTTCTGTGCTGGGGGACTCCTTTTCCCTTATATAAGAACTGATATAAGAGTCAACATGTGCCACTGTAGGCAGGAGATGACACGCAGCGAGACGGGATATGTGCGGGATGGGGAGACATAATTACGTAGCAGGCGTTGTCATGGCAGCGGCAAGTTAGGGTGGTGGAGAGAGGGAAAGAGAGAGAGAGAGAGAGAGAGCGAGAGAGAGAGAGGGCGTGGGGGTTGTCACAGACCAGAATTGCGCCACTTGCTTTTATGTTGCTATTTATAATCATCAGTACAGCATACACATGGAATGGTGGCTATGAAAAACAGGCTTTAGGGCAGAACGCACAGGCAGTAGACAGTGGACCTCATACAACAGTAAAAGAAGAGCACTTGAGTACTGTTTCAAATACTAAATGCAAAACACTTTTATTTATTTTTATTCCTATAAAAACTACAAAAAAGATTATATGAAAGAGTGACAATATTCTAAAGCTCCTGGGTACAACACTTACAGGAATTATAAGTACCTCAGATTTTTTGTATTATTATGCAGTCAGCACTAAGTATTCTCTTTCTTGCATGTAATTTTGTGATAATACATCAGTGTACTCCATATTGATGTATCATCATAAAATGACTGTGGTCATTTCTATGTTAGATTTAAATAATTTAAATTCAGTTCATGATAATTGTGATATAAGTAGTGTGTTGAAAGAACAAGGCATGCAGCTTAAACCTATTGCCTAATCAGTGATCATCTCTGCGGAAGAGGAAGATAAACTGGCCTTGTCTTTTATGTACTTTACTTTACTGGCAATCGATCTTCTTTGGTGTACTGCTATATAAAGAAACAAGAGACCAAAGGGATGCCCTCTCACTTTGTATCTCACAATTGCTTATAACGAAAGCACTTGTCAAAAGATGAATGTGCTGTTTTATAGAAGGTTTATGCTCACAGAACACACTCACAGGTCCAGTTCTGCGGGATGAAGTGAATTATCGGCATGCCCAGGTTCTTGTATTTATTTACTAAACATGAGGCTATTATTAAGCGGCAGAAGTTACCATGTTGACATTTCATCCCAAATGTTAGTTGAGGGTGCTACTCTGTTGGAGGATGTTGTGGATGTTTTGTTTGTTTATAGGGGAGATCAAAATTGCGGCTTTTATTGATTTGAAAGGTGGTCTTTTCTTTCGAATTTTGTATGAATTTTTTTAAGTTTCACTGACTACCTTTCTCTCTCTCTCTCTCTCTGTGTGTGTGCCACAGTGGACATAAAGCCGGACGTTCCTCTGTCTGTGGAGCCCCTCTCCCCTCTGGACCTGCGTACGGAGCTGAGGATGCTGGGACCAGGCTCAGACCCAAGTCTGTGGGAGCGGCAGCTGCAGCAGGAGCTCCTGCTCATTCAGAAGCAGCAGCAGATACAGAAGCAGCTCCTCATCAGCGAGTTCCAGAAGCAGCATGAGAAACTGAGCAGACAGCACCAGGCCCAGCTCCAGGAGCACCTCAAGGTCTGAGCACACAGACACTAGAAACATGAGAGACATAAGGGACATGAGGTGCATGAATGACATGAGTTACATGTGGGACATGAGGGACACGAGGGACATAACAGATATGACGGACATGAACGACATGAGTGACAAGAGGGACATAAGAAACGGGGACAGAGACAGGAACAGAGCAGGAACAGGAGCATCTCAAGGTCTGAGCACAGAAACACTGGAAACATGGCTGCAGACATCATGAGAGTAAAGGACTGGATACTTTTTATACTTCTTGTAATAATCAATAGTAAGAAACTATTTCTGCTAATGCACTTACTTAATTTAATGCATTCAGCAATTTTGCAGGCTCTTTAACGCACTCAGCACATTAAAGAGAGTTTTGTTTGCACAGATGAGCTCAGCGTGGTTCACTGCAGTAAAAGTGCCGTAGACTGCAGTACTACTGTAAAATGCTTTGTTTCACATTACTCCTGTTTCTGACTCTGTCCTATGCACAGCTCCAGCAGGAGCTGCAGGCCATGAAGCAGCAGCAGGAACTGGCCGAGAAGGAGCGTCGTCTGGAGCAGCAGAGCCAGCAGGAGAAGGAGCAAGAGCGCCACCGCAGGGAGACGCACGTGACTGCACTCAGCCTGAGGGCCAAGGAGCGCTCCAGAGAGAGTGAGCCTCATCACCACACCACACCACAATGTCGAAACATGCTCTGACTTGTATTTTAATATAATATTTATAGTATTATTTAAAAATTGTTTAATATGCAAAGATAACTACACATTCAGATGCTCAAGGAGCCATAAAATACTTTGCTTGGTGCCATGCAGGCTCACAATTTAGAAAAACAGTCTCTTAATAGACAGATGAAAATAACTTAGTGTATAGTGTTTCATTCTGTTTTTACCTTACAGCTAATTATAGAATAGATTTATGACTTTGTCAGGATGGGTAATTTGAAACTGTGTTCTGCAACTGTAATCCCCCAGTGGGAAAGAACATCTCACTGCAGTCCCACTACAGCAGCCCAAAATATACAGACACACACACCACAAGGGGGCGATGTTTCTACATGAGATAGAGCTGCAAGAGGAGGAAAGGGGGATATGGGGAGGTTTCTATGCAAAAGGAATTAAGATGCACAAAGTTCTGTAAAATATGGTTATCAGATTTGTCTGCCTTAGGGTAACCCCAATCCTTCTGTTTGTCTCTGCTGGTCTCACAGGAGCTGTGGCCAGTACAGAGGTCAAACAGAAACTCCAAGAGTTTCTGTTGAACAAAACTGCAAAGGACCCTGTGAGCAACGGAGGCACCCATTCTTTCATTCAGCACCCAAAACTCTGGTACATGTAAGTAGCACTCACTCCAGCTGAATAGTATTGTTTTGTATTCCTATATAGATATTCAAATAAAGCCATCTTAATAGTGTGGAATAAAGTGTACTTTTTTGTGTTCCAGGTCCTCTCATCACACATCCCTGGACCAAAGCTCTCCACCTCCGGGCGGCACCTCCCCCACCTGCCAGTACACGCTGCCATCGCCCATCGAGAGCAAGGACGACTTCCCCTTGAGAAAGACAGGTTTGCTTCTTTCCATGTATAAAAATACCCCTCACTGCAAGGACGTACAGTACCACATCCAGAAATAAAAAGGGATAGATAAGAAAAATATGCATTATCACATTTAGTACTTTAGGAAGTTTACAGTTCATATTTTATGTTATTACAGTGAATGGTGCTTTTCAATAAAGCCAATAAATGTTTAAAATGGGCTTGCAGACAGACGTCTACTTACGCCACATAGGGCTTCTTGAGGTTGGAGCTGACCTGCTAATGACATCAGTCAGGCTCAGAGCAACCTTTGACCTCCAGTTCATTACCCCGGGGCTCTTCATTAAACCTCCCTATATACTGGCACACGACACAACAGTCACCCCAACAACTATATTTCTGTTTGGATTACTCTAGATTAAACTATTATCATCTGAATTACAGGCTTTGGATTCATGTGCACATAGTAATTTGACTCCATGTGGTATGAATAACGTTTTTTAAGGTGTTGGTATAATTAACGACACTCATTTCTCAGGGCATTTTAAATTATCTTTCAAAACACACCAAAACGCAGCTCAGGTTTGTTGGTTTAAAGTCTGAGAACCCATTTAGGGGGTTGGCTGCATAAATAAGCAAAAAATCTACCTTTCTGGTTTGCATGAACACAAGCCAAACCCCAAACTTCATAATTCAGCCATGAGGTCACCAAATTACATTATGCACCTTTCCCCTTCTGTGTCTCTTTTAATTAAACTGAAAAGCAGTTATAGGTGGTGAGTTATTTAACTACAGACCTGTCATGTTGTGTATATATGCAATTTAGAGCTCAGGCAAAGAAATTACCTTTGTGAAAATAAGCCGCGTGTTGCTGGAGTACAGATTAGAGACCGAAAAGAAGGTTTGAGTCAGAATTTATTTGCTGTAATTTTCTTCTGAGAAAAGTACCTTGTAAATATATATGTATATGCGGGACATTTGTGCTTAGTATAATATGGTGTCTTTCCAGTTAAATAGCCAGTTTTCTGAAATAACATAGTCTTTATGGCAGCATTGTTTGTCTTTGACCTCATATACTTAAAAGACATTTATACAAATACCTCAAGGGTAAAATTTCAGTCCCTCTGCTCTTCATCACATTTTCATGCTTTCATTCAATCATCTCTTCTCCCTGGGCCTATAACTCCGCCGCACTGATAAAGCTATACTTCTTTGGCCCTTTGAATTCCTCAATCTATATGTGGTCATTTCCTGCTCTGGTCTTCCTCCCCCACTTCCTGTCTGTCTTCATTAAAGTCCAGGGAGAGCTTGGCACGCGAGGAGGGGAGGGGGCGTGCACAAAGGTACTGTTGTTTCCATGGGCTCGCGCTGTCACTGGCGGCTGATTGGCAGGTGGTGCACTGCTAAGACTGGCACACAGACAGGATGGACCTCGACAGCAGTGTTTGTTTAAGCAAAGATAGCACTCTCCAAATGAAGTGGAGATGACTCGGGCGCAGACGTCCTGTGGATTCTGCAGCCTGAGGGGCCCCATGGCACCTTTATGTGGCTGAGGTCAAGTGACAGGGAAATATTAGGGTTTAAAATAATTTTTGCTAGAACAGACCATATGCTCAAAAGTTTATTTAGCTATGTAACTCAACTTCTTTTGTAGGGGTTGGTGATTGAGAAAAATCTTTAACTCTATAATATTTTTGGATACAATTTCAATTTCACAATTTGTTTAAATCCTTCATAAATGTGCTCAAAAATACCTAAATATCCTAAGTGAGATTCAAGCATCTGTCAAAAGTGTATAAACTGTATTAAATAATATAATATTGCTTACTCTCAAGACAAGGATTTTAATTGTATCTAGTAAACAAAATTTCGCCCATCTCTTGTTGTTTGTATAATTGTCTTTGCAACTTCTTTCAAAGTTACCTATGAAGTTTGCCTACCAAGGTCATTGCACTTAGTGTTCAGCCCTTCTTATTTGTTAAAAGTCTATTGCCCTAAATACGCAATTACCCAAGTGGCCCCCTTTATTGGCCAACCTGTTTTCTTGGTATGCTGATATCCTCTTTGTTTCATGTACTAGAATAGAATGGATTGTAGACTCATGATATAAAGTAGTCTGTAGTAAGAATAGTTGCAGCTTAACACTAAGAAGTAGCAACACCTTGCCTGGTGTTGGTGACCCACTTACCAAAAGTGTACATTCAGCAGGTGCACGGAAGACTTATAATAATCCCCCCCAAAAATCCCATACTGTAACAAAACCACCAAGAGAACAGCTAAAGTAGATTTTAGGTCATTAAGACTAAAAATAGTTTGCTTAGCTATTTTATTTGTTATTTGAGTTTATGTATTTTCACTATTTAGACTGCAGTTCTTTGTTTAGTTCGGTCTGTAAACCATCTGTCCAGGTTCAGGGTGTAATGGACTCTGGCCTTGACGGTGACAGCATGCTTAAAATTCTGATTATACGGAGATAGTATAACACATTTACTTGCAAAGCACAAGCCCCGCAGCACCTCTTTCAAATACAATAAGCAGGTTGATTTATGTGCGCAGCAGAGCGGGCATCCAGTATATTTTCTTTAAGTGAAAAGTTGGAGTAAAGTGACCCTGGCGTTGGCTTGTATATGCGCGCCATCATTACCTCCTGTTGCACTGCAGTTCTCTCGGGACGTTTTTTCCACAGACACCAGTGAGAAAGTGTTTGTTCTCAAGCTGTGGTCTGGTGTTCCCGTGGCGACCAATTGGGATGCGTAGCTTGGTGGCAGCAGCGTGTAAAAATAGAAAGCAATCAAGGCAACAGATTCATAGGACTCCCTGCAGTGTTTTCTCTGCATTTATCTCCCCTGCCTGCTGTCTTCCTCTCTCACTCACTCTCATCTACCTCACACCCCCAGGATTACAGGGCTGTATTATGGAAGAGGGTTTTGCTGCTTTTGACAAAAGCCAGAAATAGATTGTGCATTTGGCCCCCTCCAAGTGCCCCTATCACCGCTCCACTCTCCCCGCAGCGCTCCCACGTCACGCCATTTCTCACTGCTGTGTGTTCTACACATCGCATAAAAGACACTTTTAATTATTGATCTGAGCTAAATATTTCATACAGGTTGGCCATTGTGTAACAGGTTTACATAACTTGGAAGCAGACTACAGCTCTGGCTCCCAGTCAATAGAGCAGCTTATGTATTCATTTGTATTTGTGTCAGTGTGTAACACTGCTGTATCTGAACGCTGAAAGGGGCACCAAATGAGGCTGACCCAGCCACAGTCACAATGAATAGTCTGACGCACATGGAATATGGGAGAACATTATTATATTATCTGTTATGTGAGGTCTGCTTCTAGCTTGTTGTGAACCAGAACAAGAATCTTCATATAGGACTTTTCATATCTAAAAGTCACCATATCCCTGCTTGTCATTTGCTACAATACAAAAAAATATATTAAAAAAAACCTTCACACCTTTTGGGTATTTACCCAAAATGTATATAAGATGGACAATGCAACTTCACATAAAAAATAAGTAAAATACATGAAAAGCTGTCTGATGTGTCTGATAAAACTGCGTGTTTGTGTTATTGGCAACAGCTGTCAATGCCAACTTAAAAGCACTAAAAAGTCTTACACTATTCCTCTATCATCAGCAATGGACTTGATTTGTGACTGTGAGCTGTGGTGCACGTGTTAGACTGGTGTATTGGGATCTCTCTGTTTTGCATTAGGATGAAGGCGAGCGCGGGGCGAGCTTGAAACATCTGCCATGTTTTTGTGTTAGTTTAACTGTTGCTACTGTATCAGAGTGTGGTCACCAGGGCGGCAGGTAGCGGACTATTTCACTTAGAGCTTGGTGTGTTGCTCGACCTAATTTGGTCCAGATGAGGTGGAAGTGGGCCCGAGCCTGACTCAATTCATTTATCTGAAACCTGCTACAAAAGTAACACAACCTCAAATTATTACACTTGAAACCTGACAGCATTGCTTATTTCCAACAGATTTATTGCTCTAACTTCTCATTTAGATTCATTTATTTGTGATTTACTATTTAGGTAATGAAGTTTATGACGCTCATTGCTCTACTCGCTACATGACTCTATAAAAAGACACAGCGCAAACTCTTTTTATATCTTGCATTTGTTTTTCTTGCAGCCTCTGAGCCAAACCTGAAGGTACGATCGAGACTGAAGCAGAAAGTAGCAGAGAGGAGGAGCAGTCCAATGCTGAAACGAAGAGACAGCAACATTATGACCCCGTACAAGAAGAGGGCCCTAGAGATAATGGGTAAGAAATTACTGTTGGCTGTTTTTCAATTGTAGAATATTTTAGGCCTATAAAATGTTGTGATTTCATATTAAAAATAGCAATTGATTATGCTATTTTCATTGGAATTTTCTAAAAGGAAAATCTATAAATGTTGAACCTGATTATTTTTTATCAGTGAACCATTTAAATTAAACTTGTTTCATTGTTAGTCATCCTGCAGTTGTTGTACTTTGCAATGCAACACTAGAATTTCCCTATTGTGAGACAAAACAGATCCTTTTATCTTATCTTTGTTTTAAACTATTGAAAGCTGTGTTGCAATTTGAAACCAAGCATATGTATATAAACCTACTGTAAAAAATGCATCTGACTGACCTGTAGTGTTTTACCATTCACCATTGTGTGACTGTGCATACTTCTTCTGTTTTCTAGATTCAACGCCTACTAACAGTGCTCCTGGCTCAGGTCCAAGCTCGCCAATTGGAGCCTCCAGTGCCTTGGGGGCTGAGAACGGACCCTCCTCTCTGCCCACTACCACAAAAACCGAGGTAATTTTCCCCCACCAAAAATTACACCCACTTAAGATCATGAGGATTTCTGCGGTCAAAACACATACTTGAAAAACAAGAATCAATACATGAACAGGAACATAAAATGACTTGGCAATGCGCACAAAGTTACATAAACGAGCATCAAAGAACAAGCTAAAATATTTTAATGACAAAAATAGTCCTAGTGAACCTTTTGCACCCAGTTTTTAAGGTTAATGTAGGTGACCGGGTTTAAAATTGTGGTGGCCGTGTCTGAGATGTGCCTATAAAATATATTTACTACACCGTTTGGTTAAATGGTCAAGTAGCTTAATTAGATCTTGTGAATGTCTGTGGTCTAAACATCTTTTTTATTAGCACTTTGTCTAAATCTGTTGCTACAAGTTTTCTCTCAGACAATCATTAAAGCCTATGCAGAGAAAGTTACGTGATTTTTGACATTTCCCCTGAAATATCACAGACAAAAAACTGCTTGTTGAAGTCTACAGTTTTCAGTCCCCCTCTTGGCCACATGCCGTTGTGTGAGCTCCTCCTCATTGTAGATTCGTGTCTAGTGCTTCTTTTGGACCAATTCTTCACAGCACAATGTTTTTGGGTGGCAGTTATGACACATCTCCCAACAATGTTTAGGAGTGCAGCTGTGTTTTCCTTTAAGTACCGTTGTTTACTCTCCCAAGGACCTCCAGTGACTCGGAGAGGGGAGAGCCGACCTGACATGGGGCGCAGGGTTGGGGCTTGGGGAGACAGACAAACTGTGCACTTTAATTGATATCCCAGGCGCTGGTAGCCAAAGACACTTGCATGCTAACAACATAAACAGGCTGGATTGCTATTGTAGCCGCCTAAGCTAAAGCTCTCATGAAAGCTATTGGTTGAAAGACAGAGCTTCATGTGGACCTCATGCCTGTTGCAAAAGCATGAAGTGTTTGTGCACCGTTACATTAGGTATCCTTTTTCAGAGGGAACTGGTCCCTGGGGTCAAATATAGGCCGGATATCCACATACAGGTCACTGAATAGTGGCAGGGGTTGGAAGGATAAACATGGCTGTTCCCAAACCACATGCTGGTGCGTGGCGCAGCTGGGTACAGGAAGTGTGCCCCAGTGGAGCTCAGGGCGGGAGCACTCTCACCCCCATCGGCCAGAACTGGAGACGCATCCAACAATGTTTGATATCTTTAACGTGCACTATGTAACATTTTGTGTGCAAGGTCTGCAACCTTCTTGAAGATGTAATTGCTTTGTTCCGCAGTATGATGTAATTTTCCATTTATCCATTTAGAGTCTTTTCAATTGCAGGTGTTTTATTGCTTAAAAATGCTTTCTTACTATGAGTAGCCTCCCCTGTCCACAGATCTGACCTAGATAGATGCCACACTGTGGGACAATCTAGGCAAAGGTTACATAGTGCACCCTTAACCCCACAATCAATGCAGCACTTTTTCATATTGGCTCTCCTTACATAAGTTGTTCATGAATCTCATACCTTTCCGTTTTCCACAAAGAGACCTGTTGTTCTTCACAGTACATTACATTTTGTATTGCTGTTCTTGTTATCTTTAGAAATGGTCCATAGCAGGATTTCTAAAACTGTCGCCTCCATCTAAATGTCTCCTTGGATTTGTTTTGTTTTTTTTCTTGCATGTTCGATGCAGCGATGGCCTTCACAACCAAGACTGTTCTGTCCAGAGGGCTCTGTGTCAATGCTGAGTTTATACACCTCTCCTTCTTTACCCAACATCTCCCTGGGCCTTTCCACTGGTGTAAGTACAAAACTATCCACATCCTCAGACAATCTGCACCAAGACATGTTTTTATCAAGTTCAGAAATCATCTCCTCTCGCTTTGTGTTGGAGTTAGTGACCTGTGGCTTTCACTTGATGAATACTGGATTTCAGTCGCTGCAGTGTAAAATATAGGACATACAATATCATATTGCTCTGAGTCTGAGACTTAATAGTTTTCCAAATCCAGTTTTAATGAAATTCTTGACAACAGTGCATTATAAATACACTTTTTTCTGGTACATTCTTCAGATATCTGTTTAGCAGCTGCACTCACTCCTACAATTCAATTTTTAAATATTTGTCATAAATCCAACATAATCTATGCATCAAGATCTGATACACGTGACACTGTTACATTAATGCTTATGAATAAAGAAGTAAATGTATTTTTGATATACATTTCAGGCTGCGATGGGTTTGAAAGACCGATCGACAGAGATCAAGCATGGCCTCCCGGGACACCTGTTGGGCCCTGTGCCTCTTCACTCGGGTCTGGAGTCCAAAGTGAGCCCCAGTCACCAGGCTCTTCTCCAGCACCTGCTGCAGAAGGAGCAGATGAGGCAACAGAAAATGCTCTCCTCAGGTACACCACAGTCTGCTCTGTATAAAACCTTACCACTTTATTTATAGGCCTCACCATATGGGCTTGTAAACAGTAAACGACTTAAAAATGTATAACTATGGCTCAAAATATAACTATAAAAATATTAAAGTTGCACTCTGTAACTTTTCTGGTGGAATGTACTGAATCAACTCCATGGATATGTTATTGCTTTGTCCAGATATTTCATTGTATAGCATTGTATTTATCCATGGAAACCGGCATGTGACACCACCAGCCCAGAGGTAGCCTCTGCATGGTTTTCAAGGTAATTTTTAGACGTTAAAACACCTGTCATGCAAGACAGGTATATTGCCATGCTGTGGAACAATACAAGCATGACAAATTGTACCCTTTTTCAGAAAAATTACATAGTGCACCTTTAATCCAATGCCAAAATGCAATTGCTTTTGGTGTAAAAAGAAATACAAAGTATTTGTTGGCACATTTAATGGCATCTGTGTGAATTTACTTGAGAAAAACTCTTTTCCGGTGAGTTCTTCGGATTTTTGTGAACCTGGGTGCCAAAGAACAGGAACTATTCATGACTTTCCAACATCAGGGAAGTAATTAAGACGTTGTATATGTGTTCAATATCAACCTGGAGCACCCTGCCAGAAGGATGGTTTGGCTTGAAAATCTCCATGAGTCATTGCTGGAGAAATTAAGAAGTTAGTGAGTCAGAAAGTTCAAGGTGCTTTTTGTCGACATTACCACACATTTAGTCAGGGTTGGTAATATAAATGAATGGCTCTGAATTTAACCACATTTGACTTTAACTGTCTTTATTGTCTTGTCTCTGTGCAGGCCCTGGCTCTATGTCCTCCCTGCCACAGTCTCCTCTGGCCATGAAGGAGCGTCCATCCAGTACCAGGCCCAAACTTCCCAAACACCGGCCTCTGAACCGCACCCAGTCTGCACCGCTGCCCCAGAACACACTGGCCCAACTGGTCATCCAGCAACAACACCAGCACTTCCTGGAGAAGCAGAAGCAGTACCAGCAGCAGGTCCACATAAACAAGGTACACCACGTGACTGTTTGAATCGCCAAAGAGACATTTCACTTTCATTATTGCCCATTGTCTTCTCCTTTTAAGTTCCATTTTTACTGCAGTCTCCGATTTATTCTCAAATTCATTCTATTTTCAGTCTTTTGTGAAAGCAAATGTGCTAGTACAAGTTTACAGTTTCACTTCAGTGTGTGCCTTCCCTGAAATCCTCATGTTATTTTTGCAAAGCAAAGAGGTGCAGGCTGACTTCAAATAGGGAAGAAATGCTTCCCCTGCACTAATTCTGTTATCATAGCTTAAGGCATCAGTGCTGTTCTCATGCTAACGCTGTGAAATTCAATTCACCTGAGTTCAAATGAAGGAAAAGGACCCGAATACATTTTGTTCCTCTGTGCCAATATTTGTGTTTCTGTGAGCTGGCCGAAGTGACCTCTCTTTACACAGAGAGTAATTATTCTGGTGAGGGACGTGTGTGAGGTGGCAGACACAGTGAAAGGCAGCATTGTGTTAGCACACGACTGATGTGTCCCAGAGAGGGGCCCAGAGAGTCCTGGGAACAACTGCATTTCTTACCCCATAGTCTTAAAATGGACACATAGGAGGCATGCTGTAAAAACAGTGAGAGTACAAGATATTTAACTGTGGTGTGAAATTCAGCAGTTAAATGCATCTAAATCAGCTGTGATTTTTGTCCAGTAACACGTGAAGGGCCCAGGGCAGATCACTCAGCCCAATGAGATCGCGACTAAAGCCTCTTTAAGTGGAGGTTATAAATGGCCCCTAATCAGGGATGAGCCCTCAGTGTTTACTGAGAGGAGCTCTGAAACATTGCCCTAATTAATTTCCAAGCATTCACTGTCTACAGCAGGGGGCACTCATGGAAATCTACAGAAGCTTAAGAAGTGATGAACTTTGTTTACTAATGCCACTCTGAGGTGTATTTATATATGGCCTGGCCTCTATTCTGCAGACAGTAATGCTGTGTGAGCCAACTGTTAAGTGTGAGCTCAATTAGTGGAGCCATCTAGTGGCAAAGTGCCTTGAAAGGAGCAGAGTAGTGAACACTAGAAAGATAGAGACACTAGATAAGAACAGTAACAAAGGCTAAAGGCTGAATAAATCAATGTGAAAATGCTACTAAGGTAATCTAAGATCATGGCACATATCAGATATTTATTTGCGTGCCTGACTTCACTACATGCATAAACAAAAGTCTTCTGCATGGTTCTGTGATAAAAGATTTGATGTGTAAAGGTTTGTGCTGTGGATATCATCATTAATATGAAGAAAATGTGTTCTGCAGCTGTTGTCCAAGTCCATTGAGCAGTTACGTCAGCCCAGCACACACCTGCAGGAGTCAGAGGAAGAGCAGGAGGAGCTGCACAGAGAGCATAGTGAGCGCATGGAGGAGGACAGGCTGCCCCCTGGAGGTGTCATCCGGAAGCACACCCTCAGCAGCAGCAGCAGTGGCTCTAGTGCAGAGCATCCAGACCCCCACATCGGGGTCATCAAGGTCAAAGAGGAACCACTCGACAGCGAGGATGAAGCTCTGAGCAATCCAGGCTTAGAGTCGGATCAGACCTCCTATCTGCACCAGGTCAACGGGCGACTGGTGATAAGAGCCATGATCTAAAGGATGAGGAGGACACACACTTGTACATTCACAGACAAATACACACACACAGCACTTCACTAAGGCCAGCTCTTCTCCTCAGACCACTCTGGACTCCACGTCTGTGACCTGTGTGTTGTGATACAACTCACCTCTGTGTAAATATAATGAAGACATTCTTTTTTTATGCTCCCCAGGAGTTCACTCTTTGGAAAGTTGCATGTGTATATAGAGATACTATGGATTTGGACATTACTAGTAATTCTGGGACAGATGTCAATCTTACCAATTCTGTACATTTTGCCATAAATAACTGAAATGAATGCTGTTCAGCTCAAGGTGTAAATGATACATAAGAGAACACTACATTTGTGTGATGTTCAGAATGAAGTGGTGTCCACACTGATTTAATGAACATCAGTCGAAGAGAGAATGTACTTAAACCTTAGCAGGACTTACCCTCAGGACTATCTGAGAGGCAGAGTGTTGCCATTGGAAACGTTTTCGCTGCTGAGATTGCATATTGGAGGATAAAGCACTAAATCCCGGACTTTGGGTGTGCAGGCATCTCCACAACACGTACCAAATCTCTGTGTCACTGCTTGTCCCGCACAGGGCCTTAGCTCTGGGCCTGGCTCTCCTCGCTGTCCCCCCTGGGTCCAAATCAAAAGCTCGGTCGGGTTCCTGCCCAACTTTTCAGCAGAGGAGTCTGGAGAGAGAGAAGGAGGGCCGGGCAGGAAATGCCTTCTAGAAGCCAGGAGCTGCAGTGATTCATGTGTGCAGGAATGTTGAGAAAGGAGGACCTCGGGTTGGAGGAGTCCAAGGGGCCAGGCTCGAGAATTGATTTACTGTCAAGGCGAATTACAAAGTGAGTGGGGATATGGTTAAGGGAGTCCTTTTTAAAGGGAATCGCTTCCTGAGTATTCCCAAGTGGCATGCTTACCTCAACACACAGGTTTGATGTTACTTCAATAAAAACCCCGGATGGCTCCACTCTAATTTTCTTATTTTTGTTTGTTGAGCCTGATTCCTCTCAAAGTGCCCATTTGAAACATGTAAAATCTGTCTTAAAGTGATCAGTCAATTGTATTGCATAGTTGAATCTTCATGTTTCATTTGTACTTCGTCAGTTCAATGTTAAAGAGAAATGTTAGTGCGAGGTCCTGTGTTTGAATGTGGAAAGTCCAAACTGTTCATCTTTATGCTGTACCCTCCAATTGTCCGCTCTTCATTGTGATGTAGTGTAAGTAAACACAATCAGAACAATACAAGGCTTGTTTTTGGCTCTTTTTGACTTGGTTGTAACAGGAACCCCTCTGGTGCCAGTGGAGGGGTGCAGCTGGAGGCGGGACGGGGGTTTGTGGTCTGTTCATAGATGTTTGCATTTCTTCTTTTTCATTTGCCTTTGTGTGATAAACCTTCCTTTTTTAAATAAAGTTTGTTTTCCTCCTTTGTCTGACATTGTTTACTGATGTGTCATACTTACTTAGCTTGTTTACAAAATTGTGCATTGTTTTAGGTCTAAAAATATCTTAACCGAAGAGTTCAGAGTTAATTTTGGGGGCATTTTTGGCAGGAAATGGTTAATATAATATAGGCAATGAAACAACATAATGATTCTGCCATTTATTTAGCTTCACTCAAAAACCAATCAGCTTAGTATGTTGTTTAGGTATTATATGGCTTTGTATACCATTACCACACTGAGGCCAGCGACATGAAAAGAATAGTATTCTCTGAACACTGAATTTATTTATTTTCTTTAATTTAATGCAACATTGATCAACTTGTCTTTGATCACTGCTTTTGTAAAACTTACCAATACGTTTGCACCGTACTGTATGTCTCCTATTTCAGAGGGACACAACTTTTAGGATGTTATTGCGAGGACATAGTGAACTGCCTAAATCATTAGAGCAGCCTGAAGTTCCCACACTGGGTCCAATAACAGCCCTGTATTTTGGGGGATCTGTGTAACCCTTTAAAGCGAGCTTAAGCAGCTTTCTCAAACATGTCTTTGATGTTGGCAAGTGAGCCTTCTTGTGGCAGCATTAGAGCAAGTCAAGATAAGGTGAGCTGTGAACCGCTGATATATGACTGGCACTGACGCTTTCAATCCAGGCTTAAGCAATTTCATAGCTTTAAGCCTGCTTCATGGGACTGAGAGGTTTACATGCAATGTGGCATTTTGTACGACAACAATGTACTAGTCATATTCTGGTCAGTGTATATATTTATATAGATAGAGGGCGAAATAGCTTGCAAATTTTAGTAACAGTATATTTTTTTAACACGCAAACATGAAGAACTTTGATTATTTCACTTTGAATTCAAATGATGGAAGCAACTCACATTGTAAGGGGAAATAAATGTGTTTTACATAAATTTGACATTAAAATAAACACCTTCACTTTTTACTGATTAAGTCATACATTCTTGTGTAGTAAGTATACTGACTGTTTTGACTGCTATAGTACTGGATTTGGAAGAAATGGTGTCTCTCAGTATTTAACTTTCAGCCTCAATTATAAGCCTGTCTATTGAGAATGTATTTTTGTGAGACTTTGTGATTGTTCTTTGTGTTTCTACAGTTTTACAATAGGAAATGTATTGAACACAGTATATAGCTTATAACATACTACATGACAGTATCTCACGTGCATTGAGTTCCTTCACATTAGGAAGTATTTGAGTTCAATTAGACTCTTTCTTAAGTTGTTCCCATCTGTCTTGGGCTTCAGGCTCTTGTGATTTTAAATGAGCTGTTACAAAGGCCAGAAAAAATAATAAATTCCAAATCCGTCTGCACCACCCTCCCCATAGGTCCACGCAGCCATGTTGTAAAAGCAAACAAGCATTTTTAAAGGTGTAAGGAAGTATAAGGAAAACATAGGCCTAACTATTTCCTAGGAGTGGATTAGCCTAGGAGTGAGTGTGCAGTTTTATCACCCACAGTGCAATAAAACTCAACTACTTGAATGCGGTACATGCAAAAAAATAGGGCCATAGAGGATATTAATGATACCACATAGTGTGATACTTCTAATGAGCAAGTACAGGCCAGAATATCTTAAGGGCAACTCTATTATGTGAGAAAGCACATGGTAAAATAATTGCACTAAACAATTAAGGTTTCAGTGCATATTTTGAGAATAGGAGAATTTATATACTTTACTTGGGCATTAAAGAAACAGTTGGAAGACCATTTTATTAGAGGTTTTGTAAATATTGTCAATCAATTCCAGTGGTCCGTGGAGAATCTCTATACATAACAGATTAAGTATTAAAATGCTCCTCCCATGTCAAGCCAAGTCCCTGGAGCAATGACTAAGCTCCGATGTAAGCATGACTCATCATAACACAAACAACTTCTGCTCCCAGCGCTCCACTGACAACTCTAAACAAGAGGGAAACCACCAGCCCCCAGTGGCCACAAGACAAGAGAGAATGTCTACATAAACTGAAATGTCACAAAGGTACCGCTTGAAAAGTTAGAAGTAATGTATGGAAAGCATTTTGTTCCAGTGGGAGATAGAATTGAACATATATAACTCTAGCCAGAAGTGGTTAGTTCTATAAATAAAAGAGGTCCATAGTAAAATGTAGCTTCAACTGTATATTTCAGCTTGTTGATACATTTTTCTTGGTCTTTGGTCTTAAAGGTGTATTATGTAACTTTTCTAGTGGGAGGCCCCTTGTCTCCTTAGAAATGTCATTGCTTTGAAATATTGCGCTGTATAACATCACGCTAATGGAGACAAACAGGTGACACCATCAGACCAAGTTACACAATACAATAATAATAATTACAGAGGCATAACAAATACTCAGAAATGAATCATTATGAAGTGGTTGATTTACCAGCATTCTATATAATTGCAAAATACAGCCAAAGACACAAGCCACAAGGGGTCAGAAGGGGAATTCATTTTAGTGGCTTATTTTTAAACCTTATTACGCTATTTTCTGATGTCGTAATATTGTTTCCTCATCAAAAACATTCTGGAGTTGTGTTTTGTTTCATTCACACATGTTTAACACGCACATCCTGCATATCTGAGTTCTTCTCTCAAACGGAAAACACTCTGTTCCACTTTGTGATGTCATGTGGTAAACTCCATAAACCTTCACCAGAATAATTTGGATAATTTCAGCCCTGGAATTTCCAGTGTCTACTGAACTCTGCTGGTAAAAGGTTGTTAACTTGAAAACCCGTGACGTCACAAAGTGGAACAGAGCATTTTGAGCTTTGGGGATACAGACAATAATAAAAGACTAATAATAAAGGATTACTCAAATATGTGTGAATGAAACAAAACACAACTCTGAATATGTTTTTAACAAAGTAAAAACATATTAACATGGCTATATATTATATGTTATATTTTGTTTTTATTTTTTATTTGTGCCTTATTTGACTCTGATCTCTTATATCATTGCTCTTTGTTATTATAATATATTGTAATATGTGAGCTACTGTGTCCAAATAATTTCCCTTGTGGATCAATAAAGTTTGTCTATGTCTAAGTCAAGTTAAAACTCACAAGAGTAAATTTGTAATTTGTAATTGTGTAATATAGTGTAATATATTAAAGTTACTAGATGGGTATGTGGCAGATATAGGTCTAGAATAATACTGCATTACAACACACATGACAGGACTAAACACTAAATTAAACACTAAAAAGTGTTGTGGAAATGTATCCTCCCGTCACCTGTAAGTTATGAGTGTCAGCTGCCTTTATTTGCATCAGTAAGAGAAACCTGCTGAACACTTCACATCTATAATTCCACCTGACCATAGCTAAGATGATAACTACCCATCTCCCAAGAGGTCTGTCATTGCTGAGCCTTGTCAAGGGGATGAATGGCCTTACAAGCTCCTGGTCAGTCTGTCCCAGGGAAAACCTAAGAAAGTTTTCCTCGGATAACACGGAGCAGCTGTGTAAACGTCAGCCTCCATGGCCTCGTCAATAGATGTCAGCTCCTGCCTCTTTCAGTGTCCCACAGTTCAAATCATGGCACCAAATATCTGGAATTCCCCTCTGGACGGGGCCCACAGCACACACACCTTTGTCACAGACACTCGCCAGGCCAAAGGAACACTTTGAGAGACCTGCGTAGTTGTCACCCCTTCTTCGGTTTTCTCCACTTTGGAACACAGCAGGATAATTCATATTCAAATAGAGAAAGAGCAGGTAAAGTTAAAAATATTCTGTGCATTGTTTTCACTGTATAGTCAAAAACAAACTCATGTTAAGTTCCAAAAAATAATTTTGAAGCAGGAAAACTGTATCATACCAGCTATTTGCAAATACCCTACATTAAAAGTAATAGCTGATGTTAAAACTCGATTCAAGCAACTCTCAAACAGCTGATATGAAGGTTGCAACAGGTTCTGCCATCTTTTCTCCATGACAGTGTTTTTGCTTTGCCCAGAATGTTCCACAATATGGCATTACACTTATCTCCATTTTCACAGATATGAGCAGATATGAGCAGGTGACACCAACAGGCCAAGTAACATGCAGTTCAGTAAGTTACAATATATTTTAAAAACTGTATTAGTTGCAGCTATGATCAAAGGTAATCGCTCATCTTAACCCTCTCCAGGCAGGTGTTGCAGATTTGCAACAGCTAAATTCCAATTACCTACTTACTCCACATCCATATTTTATGAGCTTTTTTACTCAGGAGCCTTTTCTCCCATCCATGCTGATAAACGTGGGCGATGCAGACTGTGCAAGAATGACTACACGCAAACGGCCTGCCAGAAGTGCAAAATACTTTTTTTGTTTACAAAGGATAAAAATGTCAGGATTGTATATTACTACCCCATATTATAATTTTCCCCAAATATCAGATTTTTCCTGATACTAAAAATTAATTTGAGCCCGAGAGGGTTAAAAACAACCAGTGGTGGAATGTAACAAAGTAAAAGTAGTAAAGTACTTAAGTTAAAAAATATATATATATCTAAAGGTATCTGTGCTTTACTGGACTGAAAAGTAAAAGCATTTTTATTATTGCTTGAGACCTGTTGAGAAGAATGAGGGGATTATTTTTTAACATGTTAGTAGTTTGAGCAAACAAAAATATACAACAAATAAACAAACAAAAGCAGCTAGAATAAATCATTTGTTTCTGCTGGAGAAAATTCTGCACAAATCTTTATCAAAGTCACTACATTTGAAGCTTTATTAGAGCTCAAAATCTATGCAAAATACTTTTACTTTTTACTCTTTAGGTACTTTTTCTCAAGTTGTTTTTTCATGTGATACTCTTACTTTTACTTGATTATTTTTTTCCTCCAGTATCTGTACTTTTACTTGAGTAACAAAATTCTACCACTAAAAGCAACCCTTAAAAAGTTGAGACAAAAGTTGCGCACACAAAGACAATAAACAGCAGTCCTCATCTGACAAATGCTTAATGTAAAACTGAGGCAAAACATGAACA